TATTGAATGTTATAGACCAATCATCAAAAAATAATTAATACTAGATGATAAATGTACGAACATTTTCTCGTGAGTTAATATGTTAAACAAAAATACTGGAATATACCTCCTTCATATAATCAGCCACATGTTTCCCCAAATTAATGACGTTATTTTCTTTTTTTTCAATAAAGTTTATTTGCATTCAACGTTCGTAAGTTAAGCAAGATGTACCTATTGATACAAATAGAAAGACATGAAAATAGTATGTCTAACATTTCAGTTGTTTTTTTTTTATTTATTTTTTGTTTTTTTGTCTTTTCAATAAAACAAATTGACTTGGACTAGAATCAGTGTATCTCTGAAGACAAAAGCTAAGTTTTTTGATACAGAAATACTAATATATTCATCCGTTATATAATCAGGGAGATGTTGACCCAAATATTGATGTATATTTTCTCTGTTCGCCCAAATTAATGATGGTATTTTCTTTTTTCAAAAATAAATAAAGCAATGACATGAAAGTAGTATAGTGCACATCGATTATTTTAGTTACATCTATTTGAATGAAAAAACGGCAACTTAGGAGGCACACAGGTCACTTATGATGCGTATTCGGGCATATGTGTAGAGTAAAAATATCATACTTTACGCCGAAAAAGCGAAACTGAAAGTTAAATGCGTTAACATCCGAAAACCATGTATAATCCAACGAAAATAAATAATTGGTAAATAACAGCTTTCTTGTATGCAAAGAAAAAAAAATTAAAAATGTTAAAAAAGAGATGTTGACACAAAATTACATAGCCCCTTTAATTCTGAAGATACTGCAAACGAACTGTACCTTAAAATTTTCATATCCCAGAAGCTAAAGTTCCCATGACGAATATTGCTATCGCTAGCGATTGCAAAAACCAACTTGTTTAAATATTTTGACTATTTTTTCAATTACTTCCTATGAAATAAAGTCTCCTTGTTATCAACTGATAGACAAAGTTGGACTGAGTAACAAGTCACAAGAATCGTAATTTTACATGGGAAAAAGTTAGACTGGAAATTTAACAACTTTTTCTTGCAGCAAATTAGTGGGCACGTAAATTTTTGCCTGTAAATTCTGGAAATGCATATCATGAAATTGATGGAACTAGTCCTTGTTTTTGCCACAGCAATGCCACAAAAATGTCACGGTGGACAAATTAAGCATGAAAAACGAGCTTGTTGATCATAGTTTGGCGGTATGGATAGACAATCAAAATGCCTTCTCAACACCATTTTTCAACTGCTTTGTATGATCCAAGGTTACACAAGTCAAGATCTGGTGGTGCCACCCTTTAAAAAATTCAGAAATACAGTTGTAGGTCTGAAAAACGCTCTTCTTGATTTCCAAATTATACCAGACGTCTTGGAGGATGTGCCATTGCAAGTAATAAAGGTATGCATCGACTCAGAACCAGACTTAAAGTAAAATTAATTATGTTGAATGATGATGAAAACTTCTAATAGCATTAGTGTCTCCAATGTGTGCTAATCAAAACAGAATTGATCATGATTATCTATGAAAAAAGGAGATAAATAAAAAATGAAAAAAAAAAAATGGGTAAAAAATTTTGACTCAGACCTGAGCCGTAACGTGATCCACCATGATGAAAAATGTGACTTCTCCCCTAACTGACACGAAAAGAACTAGACCGCGCGCAACGGAAGATTTTTAAGATACTACGAATTATTTGCTCCACTCAGGGAAATATCGCTCTCCTGAACATATCTCCATTGAATATGGTCCCAATTTCCGGAAGCAATTAGGTATTTTAAATTACATTAACATATTCATGGAAAATTGAATTGTTTAAGAACTTGAAATCCGCGTGTAGATTTAGGTATCTTATTTTGGTGGCGTAGCAGTGCAATAACACTGCACAATGCACACTCACTTCCTATATGATATTATCCCCAGAATATGGTATACACAGTCGTCTTTGATTTCTAGGTTAAGTTTCAAGACAAGATTGTGAATCTTGGGAATAAACTTACGTTATTAGACATAATGGTTCCTCCAACCCACGTTTCATGGGAATTTGAAAAAGGAGCTCTTTACACATTGATAATGTCAGGTATGTGCATACATCCTCCACCAAGAATGTTCCTTAATGATGTTAAATTGCCCAAATAGGTACCGCACAGACATAAATAGGGTGATCCAGAAATTTTGCACCAACAGCACCAATCATCACCCCTGTAACTTTTGAGCAAATTGAGATAGAGACTTGAAATGTTGTGAGTGCTCCTACGTCAAAGTAAACGACTTTTGGGAACTTTCAAAATTTTAAGTAGAACATTTTAAAAAAAGATAGAGAACCTGAGGGGTTACAGGGGTCTTGCGGGACTTTTGATTCACCCTGTAAATAAGGACCACCATGGGGCAGAAATATTAAGACATCACAGTCTTGGCAATACTGATTGGAAATTGTTTAGTCTAAAGTCTGTACGTATGAAGCTGTCAAAATATTTAAGGAGTGCCGTTTAATTGTTTGCTTCTTTCTGATAGGCTTTTTAAATGAAATTTGTTTGCGTGCTTTTATTGAATATGTCTTGAATATTTGAAATCATATACTTGAATACAACAATTGAGAAAGACCTCCAACTGTTGGCTTCTCCCAAACTTTAGGGCTGACGTATGTAGTTTATAACTCTTGATCGTCAAACAAATTTACAGGCCCTGACTATCCAAGTAGAATGCTGCCCGAATTCCGCGAATACCCTCATTGGGTTGTGGGTAACATTCCAGGCAATAGTTACTTGGCTGGAGAAACGGTTTTTGATTATCATGATCCTCCGGAAACATATTATCCAGGTAAAAATTGTACGTCCTCTCTATTACTATAATGACGTTTTCTAAGTTTCCCTTGAAACTTTATGATGGAGCTCCTAACGAAAGAGGGCGATACGCACCCGTGGTCTACTAACAAGAGGTTGGCGGCAAAGAGGTGGAGGAAGAGATCAGAGAGTGTAGTTTGCTTGAGGGCCTCTTGGAAGACAGGGATCAATGTCGATTGGGTGCCACAGAGCAGAGAGCAGCGCAGATTTAGTGACTTCTTTGTAAATTTTTCTTAACTTTGTTTCTTTAATATTTTGACAGTTTTAAATCATCTGCTGATGCTGAAAGTAAAAATCTTTTGGTTTTAGAAAAACTATCAAATTTCTTTTAAAAAAATAAGTTGGTAAAAATAAAATACAGTAGAGGGCAAAGAAGAAGAAGAAGAAAAAGAAGAAGAAGAAGAAGAAAAAGATGAAGGAAAAGAGGAAAAGTCCGCAAAAATTAGTATTTATATTTTGCTAATAAAGCTATTTAAAATTTATGACTTCTAACTCAAAACCAATCATTTTGTTCTGTTTATAATCTTACAGGCACCCATCGGTTTGTGTTCACATTATACAAACAAAATGGTTCCGAGCCCGTGGAATTCGACGAAACTATTCTCAAAAAAGAGTAAGAGATTAGTAGCATAATGAAATATTTCGTGATTAATAAGAAAAAGGTTGTTTTGCCTATCCACTAGCTTCTATAAATCTCATATCGTTACTAAATAAACAGAAAGGGGCCAAATGAGCAATGTTTTGGAGGAACTTTAAAGACGGGAGTATTTATGATCTCAATATTGTGATTGCATTTGTTCCTGACAAAAATTCAAAGGCAAACATAAAAATACTCTAAATGTGAAATAGGGGTTAACATTTATTTTTAACATTGAATCTCATGTAGAGAAACTTTGAAGCATCTTTTTCTCGGTTTCAACTCATATGAATTAGTTTTTTATTGCTAATTTAGTCACAATTATTCTGGTCGCAAGATTAAATTTTCCCAAGTAGTGTCAGCAACTGAGAGATATGATTAGGTTGGGCGACTAGGTCCTATTGATTGACTTGTCTAAATTTCACAAATTTAGTGTCAAAACTTGGAGTTCTCGTTCTCTTCTCTTAAGTATCCACTTTTCTCTCAGGGATATTCTAAGAAATTATATAGTGACGACTGATTCTCCTTTCAGTAGTATATTATACGTATACAGACATCCATAACGTGTTTGTGAACTGAAAATCGATTCATCGATCAATACATCGAAGCTCGATGTACTCATCTTCGAAAGCATGTTGTTTTTCGTCAAGTAACGAAGATCATCCAGTCCATAACCTTTCCGTTCAAAAAAAGAATAAAATGAAAGTAACAAAAAGAAGTTTGTTTCATTATTTCAAATGACTATTCTGGTTTGCATTGTCTTTCTTCAAGACTGTTTCAATGGTAGGTCTAATTTTTCTCTTTTTTTTCATTTTAACAGGAATATGATTCTCTTTCGGAAATACTTCAAGACTGAAATTTTCGGAAGGAAATACAGAATGGAAGCACCAATTGGCGTAAATTTCTTTGAGGTTGACCTATGAATTGTTTACACCGGATCCACGAATCAATGCAATTCATCGCGAATCGCATAAAAACACATTTTTAATGAGTGGCACATCTCCACACTTTCTGTCGAAAGCAATGGGATCAGTTCGTCAATGAATGATGAGCCTAAATTAAATCAAACCTACTATATCTGTGTAAATATTTTTAACTTATTTTCAAAGTGTAATTTTTATAAACTGTGATAAATAATAATTTTAAAAAAAGGAAAGAAATTAGTGTTAGAAATAAGTTGAAGAAAATTACTCTATCCTCGAGAGTAACTTGACTTTCCAAGTTCTAGCATAAATCAGGTATATTATTGATTTTGTTTTTTATTAATTATCCTTCCTCTTACATAGCATGAAGGTGATTGTCATTTAAATCTTCCGTCACATTCTTACGGAGAAATGATACAACTATTTGAACTCTCCGGAATGCGTGAGGTATCACGCCGCATTTGAAGGCGTTTTCAAAACAGCCAAGTTCCGTTATCGGAATAATCGCTTTGCATAGCTCATATTATTTTGTTTCCATTTCTAACCACTTGTTTAATAATAATCCTCCTATAAAAAACCACCCATTTGCTGAATACGATTCTAGCTGAAGCGCACTTATGCGCATTCATGACTGGAAAATTGTTAACGGAAATCGAAAAGGCCAGCGTGCGTGAAGGCTTTTTCATTTGTAATCTTCCGTCGCATTTCTAAGGCGCAATGATACAACTATTTGAACTCTCCGGAATGTGTGAGGTATTACGCCGCATTTGAAGGCGTTTTCAAATTAGACAAGTTCCGATACCCGGATTATCGTTCTGCATAGTTCATATGCTTTTGTTATATTCCGTGCCACTCGTATATTTTTAATCCTCGTAGAAAAACCACCCATTTGTAAATACAATTCTAGCTGAAGCGCACTTCAGCTATGCATTCACCACTGCAAAAATTTCAGAGGAAATCGACAAGCCCAGCGTGCATGGAGGCTATCTCCATTTAAATCTTTCGTCACATTCTTACGGCGCAATGATACAACTATTTGAACTCTCCGGAATGCGTGAGGTATCACGCCGCATTTGAAGGCGTTTTCAAAACAGCCAAGTTCCGTTATCGGAATAATCGCTTTGCATAGTTCATATTATTTTGTTTCCATTTTCAGCTGTAGCGCACTTCAGCTGTGCATTCACCACTGCAAAAATGTCAAAGGAAATTGACAAGCCCAGCGTGCATGAAGGCAGGTCCGCCACAAGGGGGGGGGGGGNGGGGGGGGGGGTACTGAGTCCCTGGTACCGGGGCCCGGGCCCCGGAGGGGGTCGTGTTACCCGTGAAAAACCACTACGAATTCACATACAACCCTTGTTTCGTTAGAAAAAGTGAAAAATATACCCTAAAAATTTCGCAAAAGGTGAATAGATTTTCAGAAACACGCTAGGGCACTGTAGAATTCTTCTTAAATTTTCGAAGAAGTATACTTCTAGGAAAATTTCTATCTATTTTCTAGATTTTCAGTAAAGAGGGATATTTAGTAACCGCGTGTCATTTTCTTCCGTCGTCAGATGCTAATAGTCTCCAGTCTGGGCATCCTCGACTTCAATGGCTCATGGCTCAACTCTCTTGCCATAGAAAAATGAAGGGGGAGTCCAGGGGGGCCTGGCCTTCTTAGAACTGAAAATAGTATCATATGCCCCTCCCAAAAAAAAATAAAAATTTTCCAGATGTTTTGAATGCAACAATTCGCAAGTATTTTGTGCTGAAAGTAGGGGGAAAAAAAAAAAATTATTCCGCAGAAATTGATGGACAAATTCTTTATGGAAGCTTCAAAATGCGTCCGATTGGTCGTATAAATTCTAAAATTTCTTGGGGGATGCCCCTCGGAACCCCTTTCCGCGCTTGGGGCCCGGACCTTAAAACTGGTACCAGGGCCCGAGATGGGATGTGGCGGGCCTGTACATAGCTGCTGAAATATTAGGGAAAGTATAATTTCAATTTCAGTTTTGAAAAAAAAAAATAAATAAATAAAATTCCATCCTTAAAATGCTGTAACAAGTACAACTAGAACGGCGTTTTGGATCGTAAATCTTAATATCAAGATTTTGCCATCGCGTCACCATTCTTAGTTTGTAAATAAAGAAATACCCATTTTGAAGGGAAAAAACTGATAGAACTGGATTTTCCTTCTAGAGTTACCCTTGAAATTGATACCCCTGCGGAACGCGTGCGGCTCCCGTGGCGCGACCGGCGTGGCGTGCTTTGCAATGTATCGATTGATATGCCACTCAAACCTATGAAAAAAGATCGATTATCAGGGCGTTCGCTACGAACACCATTACAATCGATTCTTAAGCATAGCTTCAATCGGAAAATATCGATGGTTGATTATGACGCTTCGCCGCTGCTCAAAGCGTTGCTGACATGATGACGTATGGCACAATAACAATACGTCGCTCTTCTGGCAAAAGGACGTATCTCCATTTCCGCATGAGCCTTGTTCTCCGTATAACTCTATGCTCTCCGGGGCTCGTGCGGAAAGAGCGATACGCCCTTTTTCTGGAGGAGCGACGAATAGAGAGTGACGTTTGCAACAACCAATATCGACGTCGTACACTGTGAGGACCAAGTCATATTGCGAAGATGAACCATTTTCAGTCATGAAAAATATTTCCTACTTGCCTTTAGCAAGTTCTATAATTTAGCTTATTTTGAACAGAAACGTTGAAAGAATATTATGGAGGAGGTGAATTTAGAAGAATGATTTATTATTCGTCATGGTTTGCTTTTGCAATGGAGGGTTTTAACTTCATTTTGTCCGACTTCAATATTCCAGTGGGACGTGTCGTTAAAGTAAAACATTCAACGTCTGCTTAGATCCGCCTTAAGCAAACTACCATTACAGCTATTCGACGGCAAAAATCTCAAACCGATTATCTCAGTCTACGACGTTGCTGACTTCCTGTTATATTTTTATTTCTTACATGGAGAACTACTCAACTTCCGCTTTGTAAAATTTCCGTGGTTTTTATCTTGTGTGAGAAAAAAATTCTGTGAAATCCTAAAAAAATGATATTGATTTCAATAACATCGTACATGAATAAAAAATGATCTCAATTTTACGCGCAAGTGAGTTGTGTTTCTTGTTATTGGTTTGTTCTTTTGGGAAAAAAATAAAATAATGAAAATAATGAATAATGAATTGTAATGGAATGGAAGGGGTAATTTTTAACCTCCGCAAACGAGATATACGTGGTTTAGAAGTTTCACCGTCATGTAAAGGCATTTAAGGAGAGGCACGATGTGAGTCTACGACAATATAGATCTTATCAAAATTTGCCTCGTATTTATTCTGAGATTTGCCGGCTTGAAATTCTATCAAATTTGGAAACGAATCCAGTTCGAAATGTGTTACTCATCAATGGCCTCGTCCTGAGCCTGATCAAAGTTCCTCGGATATGTTTGGGCAAAATGCGTCAGACATGGCCCCCCAGATTCGTGTTTGTTTTGTGTTTTGTGCTAACTGTGGATCTCTCTTGGAGCGTCGAGCTTACGACAAACATGACGGAAATTTTAAGGGAACATAAGATCATTCCTGACTGTGTCCCAATAGAACCACCCCAGTTCCTCGAGGTATGTATACAGTATTCCTTTGCAGACACCTCCGCTGAATTTATCGTAACTGCAGATAATGCTGAGGCATCTTGGGATGAAGAAAGCGCCCTGCTGTGTAAAAAGGCTTTAGGTTCCTTTGCATGACACGCAGAGTCGCAGAAGTTGTGACTTGCGAATTGGACTATCACCAACGCGATTAAGGTCTCATCCTGGCGGCTTGCGCCTGATATTTAACGAGGTTATCAATATTCAACCCAAAGATCCGGTCAATGTTACACAAAAAAAACCAAGGGATAGGTCTTAACCGCACGTTCAAGTTACTTTGCGATCTAATTTCCATATTACAACAAAATTATGATTAATTGGACGTATTTCTGTCAAGTGGAACTAAGCGCCATCGGAGGAGGAAGGTAGAGGGGGGCTAGGATTGGCGGCGGAATCGGGCGTCGGGCTCATTCCGTCCTATACTCGCAATGCTTTTCCATGGCGGCGCTTATAGTTCCGTTTGACAGAACGCGCTATCCGGCATTCTAAATTCCTCAAAAGGAACTCAATTTGGCGCTTAGTTCCGTTTAACAGAAATACGTACAATTTTTCTTACTGTGTACAGTGTTCTGTACCCCACAACCCTTCAGAAAGTCGGCACTCTGAGTCTTTTCACGCTAACTCACATACTCATACATCTTACCCTGTTAACTATAACATAATCGGCAATCATATATTTGCACTTTTAAAGCAAAGGCAAAGCTAACAGGTAAGAAGTTGGTAATTAAGTTTCATACACGTATGTACATGAATGTATCTTGAATCGTGACTGTTTATGAGGAAACACATATTTCTAAGGGGACATTGGAGATCACACCAACTGCAGGACGAGTGGACTTTTTCATCTCCTTTGAATTTAATTCCTTTTTACCGTAGGTAAACTATGTCCACACAGTGGTTGAATTTGGAATACAACTGGACACGTTAACCGTCATGTATCAACCGACCGATCTTAAATGGAAAGCTGAAAAAGACTCTTACTACACTATCGTACTAACTGGCCTGGACGTTCCAACTAGAGAAAATAATTCAGTCAGCCAATACAAGCACTGGATCGTTGGTAATGTGCCTGGAAATGCTTTTTTCGCCGGAGAAACAATTGTGGAGTACGTGGGGACTGGACTTCCGTATGGCAAAGGTAAAGAGAGAGAAGTTATGCCTTCGTCCTCATCTAGCTCGAGCTCGAGACACTCAGTATTTTTCATGTGTTAAATTACTCACGTTTTTTGTTTGGAAATATTTTTGTCCCTACATGAATTTACGTCGTCCCAAAGCGAAACTTCAATTTTTTACGTCCGAGATTTGATGGAGAAATAACGCGGTAATTTATTCAAGAAGTGCAAAAATCCGCTTCGATTGCCATTAAAGTTCCCCCAATTTTAAAGCCATATAATTATGCTTCAATTTTGTAGATCGGCCACTCAAAGTGGGTGAGAAAAAAAATTTTTGTTAATATTGCTTCACTTTTTGCAAAAAGTTCAGATAATAATGCATGCGTTTCACCACTGTGATCATGAAGAGAACCTGAAATAAGGCAAAGGCCTCATGTTTAAGGTGAATTTTTGAAGATTGGCGTAAACCTTCACTTGTCCTCTTGCTTGCCACACTTTCTCTGATACATTCAGAATTTTTACATGAGTTTTTTTTTTTTTACTTCTCTTACAGGTATGCATCGTCTAGTTTTCCTCGTGTATGAACAGCCTGACAAGAAAAGAATAATTTTTGATGAAGAAATCGTGCGCAAAGAGTGAGTAGATAATCCTTACGTGTATTTAACTGGATGTAAATTAAGGCAACATAGGTACCATGAAAGATCAGTTTGCCCAACTTCTAAAAATAAACCAAGGAAAAGGGTAAGGAATCCTGGTCATCTGAAGAAGATCCGTCTAAAATCAACTGGCGATTTGACCTTCATTCATCAATTTTGGATTTTCCATGTTTGAGAAAAAGTTTAAACAAAGTTCAGAATTCCTGGAGAGATATTTTGACATGTCCTTTCGGAAACCAAATAACTTGGTCAATTTTCGACCTAGAGAACTCGGAGCGATTTTATTTTATCGGTATTCACCAGAAATGTGACATTAGACAAATCGAAAAATCAGTTAAACAGGGGTTTCGGTTTGTCTAATGTCACTAATGAAATCAGCGCATCAAAGTATTGTTGCATACCAATTTTCATGAGATCCGGTGCATCACTGTTGCCAAAATGCAGGAAAAACTATTTATTTCTACAAATTGCAGAGGCTGTGGCCCCTTTAAAAATGATTTTTTGAAAAAATTTCTAAGGAGGAAAAAGTCTGATTTTGACTCTTACAACACGCTCCTACAGTCTAGATGTTGGTGGTCTAACGTATTGGATAACCTATATTGTTTGTTTTTATATCTTGTGTTTCAGATCAAATAAAGAACTTCGGATGTACTTCTGTGCTCAGAAGTTTTTCAGCAAATACAACATGCAAACAGCTATTGCAATCAATTTTATGCGCGTTGAGGAATTGCTGTGAACAATATGATTACAAATTGCTTCGCGCAGAAAACGGAGAATAAGTATATCGACGGAGGAACTCCTAGACTACGTATTTCGGTCTCGTCGCAACGTCGCAGACTTCCTGTCATATTTTATTTTTCAGATGAAAAACTCCTCGACGTAAATTCTTGAAAACTTCCGTCATTTTTCTTCTTTTAGTGAAAAATCTGTGAAAACTTCAAGGAATGATATTGGTTTGTTTTCCTTTTCAAAAATAAAATGGGAGCAGACATTTTTGAACACAGCAAACGATATACGTGGTCTGGTATAGATTCACCGTCGATATATTACATTTTCCGGTTTTTTGTATAAAATGAAGTTGACAGTCAGCAAAGACGCAATGCATTCAAGAATGGCGCTTGCAAGAAAACAACAAAATATGACTAATACGGTTATAGATGCATATCAGCTTCACTATAATCAGTCAACAAACAGAGGTATGAAACATTCATTATCTCATTGATAACTCACTCACAGATGAGATGATAAAATGAAGTTTTAAATACTCACAATGTATCGTTGCCTCTGAGTTATAGCTCTTGCTTCTGTGAAGTTCTATCAATTGGAAGTTTTTTCTGCTTTAAGGTAACACTTAGTGTTGAATGAGAAGAATAAGAACGTCATTTTACACAGTTAATTTGGTTGAAAAATTATACCGCACACTGTAATTTTGCACACCTTTCATTCCTTGAGATGTTAATTGCAAATTATTTCGCACTACAAAAAACTACAAATTTCATGGCGTCGTCGATCTCGTTAATGGCTTTCTGGCCGCAAAATTTAAAACATTCCTCGGAGTTTCAGGGTTACGGCCCGTATAAAACAGAGTGGCTTAATACTTTGTAGTCGCCTCTGGCAAGTCAAGAGAGGAAAGAATATTTGAATTTTTTGAGTAGATGCCAGCCTACTTTATGACTTAAAATTTATGCAGAACATTCAGCTAACAGAGAGGAAAAATCAAGACAGTTTTCAAGAAATTGCGCAGACTAATTTTTCAAAGAATAGTATGACAGGAAGTCTTCAACGTTGGAAACTGAGATACATGGTCCGCTTTTTAGCAATTGATAAAAAATTCGAAGGGACTTTAATACCATGTAAACGGGTTGACACCTGATTTAAAATAGTGAAACAACGGTACTTTATTATAAAGATCTAGTGCGACCAAAAGTGTGAAAACCTACTATCCAAAATTCATTTTAGCCCATTTTAAAAAATAAATTTCAGTATGTCTGTGAATAATATGTGCACCCTCTAATCCTCGATAGATTTTTTACCTCCGACATTATGTTCTACACTCGGTTATTTACCACCATGCTCACATTTTAAATTCAGTGCCGGATAATACATATCGAAGTTTCATGATTTTCTGCCGGAGAAAGAGACATGTTACGTGAACGTTTCCAATTATTATCTTTGCAAGGATTCATTTTTATCAGCTGTCTGAAAGTATGTCTACCACAGCTCATTGATGGTGAAGAATCGAACCCGTGGAAAGTTGAGCATCCAAAGAAAACATCGGCTGAAATAATCGCTGAGCTAAAAAAACACAAAATCATTCCGGAAATAATTGAACAAACCCCCAGCGATGTTAGCGTATGTGAGGTAAGTTTGGTCACGCGCTATTCGTGAGAATCTTTTAGAAATGATGAAGATAATAATTAAAATCCTCATATTTTTCTCGTTGTTATAAAATTTTCCTGTATACCCACCTAAGTCATTTCTTAACCCTTAGATGTCCAGACTTTGTTTTTATGAGCAAAGTCCTATGTCAAATCAAACTATCCCGTATTTAAGTGCATTGATTTTGACAGTTTTATAGTATTATCTCCCTAATTTTTATGTTTTTAAAGTAAGAAATGCATTTTTTGAAATTTTCAATTTTCTATTTAAGATACTGGCGCTTTCTCCTCCCCCTATCCTTTCACCATCTGCCGTACCTCCTCTAAGAGGGATAGTTGGGTTAATTTTACCTGACTCGGGATTTCTAGGGGTAGACGTCTAAAAAAAATTGCCTAGCACGACACAACTCTAGCCAAAATACCAATTTTTAGATAAGCGCTTTGTAGGGCACTCGAGAGGCCCATAATGTTTTTACATGTATTTTAATTTTTTTTTTTTTTTTTCAAAATGATTATTGATTTGGTCTACCTTAACTATTCTCATGTTTCAAATATGAGAGACCTCAACGCGGGTGATGACAACGCACAAGTACAACTATTCGTGCTTGATGGATGTGCATACTGCATAAGCAAAATTGAAGGTGCTGGGGCGTGAGGCGTGAACTCGCAATGCTATGTCCTATGCCAGCAATGAGGGGTATCAAAAATCGTCGCCCCTCTGACGTAAGGGCGTATATCGATTTCCACATGAACCCCAGCAAGCATAGAGTTACACGGAAAACAGAGCTCATGTTCAAATCGAGATACGTCCTTACGTAGAGGAGAGACGAAATTAGGGAGAAAAGTGAAAAACGAGGACGGATCACGCCGCTCCTATCTTTCGCTGTATTTCTCACGTAGTTAATGGAGTACCACTACAAAAAAGACGGACGGAACCTACACAACGTGAAAATAGAGCAAGAAATGGGCCGCGCGTTGATAACGGGGTTGGGATACAACTATTCGTGCTTGATGGATGTCCGTGCTGCGTTTGCAAAATTGAAGGCGCGATGGCGCGAGGCGTCGACTCGCAATCCTCCGCTCTATGCTGCAAAGGAGATGTCGCTCGGATTCGGCAGAAAAGTTAAAAAAACGTTGCCCTTATCTGCGGCTGAGTTGACACCCGATTTTTTCCTCTTTTTTTCAATTTGTTGTCCGATTCTTTATTTACGGTGTATTTGCATTGACCTATATCCGTAGCTCGTAACCGGCCCCATACAACGTGTTTTCAGCAAAGCTATCAAGCGAGCAGGTGGATTTTTGGAAAATATTTTTGTAAAAGGATAACGAATCACGAGCAACTCAATGATATGTCAACGATCGATCTGGGTAATTTTTGGAAATCATGAGAACGTGTGTCATGCGTTGATACCTAGCCCTTGAGTAAAGGATAAATCAAACAGAAATGAGGGGCATTTTGAAAGTATGTTTTCCCATATTTCTACCTTCGAGAGCTGCTGCGATTAAAGCATTTTCAGATATGTTATTGAAAAGCTGTGAGATGTATAGAGTGTTTCTGCTAAAAAGTTAAAATAAATTCATTTTGAGAAGAATCGCTCTCCGAGAAAAATCCTCCGCGAGCGTCTTCGTATTCTTGCGAATCATGGAAAATCCCATTTATTCTGGTAAAAATCAATGTCCATAACTCTTAATTGCTCTTTTTTATTTTTCAGGTTTCTTATAACGATTCGGTTATAAACTTTGGAAATATCATCAACTACACATTCATTCAAGAACATGAGCCCACGCATTTAAAATGGCCTTACAAAGAGAACAAATTATACACACTAATCTTTACATGTAAGAATTCACAGTTGTATGACCTTTCTTTGTATTAGTTTTGGCTCTGCTGATTACTTATTCTCCATTAATATGGGGGAGGAGGGCTGGGAATACTCAAACGTTACATGAGTGATTTGGAAAAATATCTGGTTAGATTTAAAGTGTTCTTTGCGCCTATAATTTAAAGAAGAGATGCATTTCAACCAAAAGTTGGAACAACTTTTTTAAATTAAAGATGCAATGAATGCAAAGAAGAAATAACTCATTGTAATAAGTAGACAGGCAATAATTGACTTTAAAATCTGCGTTATTTTCTCTTTGACAATGTTTCTAATGTGTGATTTCCTGTTTTCGTGCGATTTCAGCGATTAATCATTTATCAATTTGGCAGTATCTCTGGTTTCCAACATGCCCGTTTCAGCGAAATACAGAAATCTTAGAATTATTAGGACCGAGGAAAATTCAAACCGTCCCATGGATTAGTCTCTTTACTTTGTTTTTGTATATTTTTCCGTTTTCTCTGTTTAGCACCAGATACCCCAGGAATGAAGGAACACAATGAACGAGAATTAATATTGTGGTTGGTCGGCAATATACCAGTAAATAACGTAAAAAACGGAACTTCGATAGTCGATTACGTGGGAATGTTTCCGTATTATGAGGAGGGTAAGCGTTGCCGCTTTATTTTATTAAATTTATACCTTTTCAAGTTACCGTAACACGTAACATATTACGTAGCGCCTCTGAAAGAGGACCTCTGGGGGCACGTTTGGTATTCTTGGCACTTATTTCCCTATATCGCATAGCTAAAACACACACTGCACTAATTACAAGGTATGAGCTCGTATCACCACAACCATGCAAAAAACCTGTTTTTTAAGCATTTTACAACTTCAGCAATTTGACGTGTTCATTAAAATACCGAATCTTAAGAAATTTTGTGACGCAAAAAAATATGTTTGCGAATGGCTTCAGAAGAAATACCCTCCGAGCCTTAGGACACAATTTGAATTTGAAGATGGATGATTGCAATACGATGAGCTCCAGAATTATACAGGAATTTTTTCTGCGCATTGATTCACAAACACGAGAATCATCTGAAAATACACAATAATAAAACAATTCTTAAAGCGGGTAATAAGGCCAATTTTCACGAATAAAACCAAAACATTTCGGCTGAAAACTCAGCCTTCCTTACTTGGATGAAGCAGTAAGATATATTATAAAATTTCAAAATTATACTTGGCTGTACCTTACAATAATGTTGTTATCAACGTCCTAGCTGTCTATCCATGTTGTTATCATCAGATAACAACATTGTTTTCGCTTTGAACGGTACAGCCAAGTACTATTTTTAGATTTTTAATTTTTTTTACTGTTTTATCCAACTGAGGAAGGCTGAGTTTTCAGCCGAAACGTTTTGGTTTTATTCGTGAAAATTAATTAGCCTTGTTACACGTTATGTAAATTGTTTTATTATTGTATAACTATTCACGGGCTGCGGAGCATCAATTATAACTCTGAAAATACATCTGACATGTTTCCAATGTTCATCATGAACCATTTATATTTCATTAACGGAACGTTTATTTGCGAATCTGGGAATAGCTATTATACTATGCTCGACTATTATGAGCATTTTATGCAAATTTTTCTCAAAAAAATTATATGCTTGTAAGAATTGTATCGCTGAAGATAATTTAAAAATTCTTCATTAAAGCAAAGACATTATTTTTTCATTCAAAGGTCTTCATCGCTACATATATTTTGTTTATGAGCAAAAGGATGCAAAACAAATAGATTTTTCAGATGAAATTTTCATTCCTTCGCAGTAAGTATTTGATTTTTTTCCCTTTTTTTTTCATCCTCCTCTTGAATGGGTCGTCTCAAGCAGCTCCCTGCATGAGTGCATGATCATGTAGCACAGAAATTATACACTCGCCAGAAGACCTAGAGGAAACCGAGGAAGAAAATATCGGGCGCTACACTGCCGTGCTAGGAAAAAAACGGCGTATGAGCCTTCGGGCGTTGCCAAACTTCCTCTAATATAATACAAATGTTCTCGTGTTTTCTCTCAATTTTTTATCGAATTTGATCAGCAAGTTAATCTACAGTATTTGAAACATTTAAAGAAACGTATTCAAAATTATCTTGAAAAATGAATGTTTCGTAGACGGAAATTAGACGACGTCGTGATGTTTATACGGCGTTTATCTTCAACACGACAAAGCAGGGGATGTCGCACCAACGAGCACTCAAAATGACTTCTTGAAGGGGTGCATTTCATGCCATTCAGTGCGGTGTATGCCTCTAAAAAAAGGTCCTATCTCCTCTTGGTCAGTGGAGCGCTCTCTCAGAAAGGCATCCGAGAAAGACCCCATCAAAAGGCCTCCTACTAAGGCCCCCCTCAAAATGGTCCCCTATGAAAAGCCTGGCTAAGAATGACCCCCTTAAAAGGCTTTTTCACAGCTGACGGATTGGAGACTCGGTAGGAGGGCGACGAGGATAATGGAATGGGAATAACGAGTAGGGAATAGAAATAAAATCATTTTACAAAATTACAGAGAAGGTGTGTTCACGAGATGTGCGCTTTTGTAATTATATAACGGTGTTATAAAATAACTGCTGCTTATCCACTGATTTTCGGAAAGTTCAGCTGTCAAAGGTATTTAGATCGGTAGAGGACAAGCTGCGAATGGTAAAAATGTTGATGAAACCGTATAGAGGTTGCTTGAGTATGTCTCTTTGCACTTTCAAAAAATCGCAATTTGTCACAATTAAGTGACTTTAAAAACGTAGAATTTATTCAACATCTGACACGCACAACTTTCGGCGATACATCTGCACCGTAACCACAATCTGCAAATACCTCTTTGCATTATGCCAAGAGCTTTAACATATTTTGAGGGCAAAAACAAAGAAAACACCTGGAGAGAAATTACAATAATAACACATTAGGGATTGAGCCTATAGACAAACTATTTTATGAAACTTCACCACTCAAAAAATGTTTCTCTAATTTCAGTATTGTCAGTCAGCGCCGTTGCTATTTTCACACCGAAGAATTTAAAGATAAGTACAAACTGGGACCCTTGGTAGCTGTCAATTTCTGTAATATGCAGTTTATACGCAAATTTTTGATTTGACGCTCATCTCTTCTCCAAGACAAATCTAAAATAAATGTTTAAAAAAAAATGTATCACAATTGTTTCAGTTCCACAATCCTTTTTTGAGACATGGGTTTTTAATGCATCCTCTAAAGAAAAGCAAACTAAATGGAATTTTTAAATCCTTATAATTTTGTGAAACATTTATCTTCCTTGTGTATTTTGATTTAAAATTAAAATTCGTGTCTTTTTATTCTACTTTACTTTTTTTATCAGACTGTAATGAGGATGATTCAGAATTGATGGAAAATGTTCAATATAACTATCGAGCAAAAATCAGGAGCGCATCATATTTGATTCATTGACAATAAGGGGGCAAGACATTTTATGACTCAGTGTTTTGAAAAACAAAAATTTAAAAAAATTACCGGGGTCTCATTAGAAAAATTGTAGTGCTAGCCTAAAGCAGTCCGTGAACAACAAAATTGAATTTTAAGTTGAAAAGACTCATTCGCGTATCTTTTAAGAGGGTTACGCACATTATTTATTGTAAACTGCTGTTAAAGACAAACATTGCCCGTCGAGCAACGAACTGTACGTCTAGAATGGCTGACCAGTGTTAGAGACCCGTATAACGTTTTGAAGTTGATATAGGTTAGGTTTACTTGCGGGCTCAAACAGCAGGCTGCCATCTAAACCCATGTAAGACACTGCTCACCTTTTGCCCCAATTTAGTTGAATAAAGTGATAGCAATGAAAATATGGCATAATAATCGCTCCTCAAAAGGTTTTCTTTACTCAAAAGATAGGAAATTTGAAAGTAACCCATTTTAACCCATTGACTTATGATTTCATTTGACCCTGCCGGGCCAGGAATTACGATTTAATTTGACGAAAATCACTTTGAACACTTCAAAATAATCCAGAAATTTTTCTCTAATGGTGAAAATTGACGCAATAATCATTCGCAATACAATGTTTGAGAAAAATGGCGAAAACTTTGAACAAAATGATATTTTTATTGTGGTTTAGGTATAGCTGTTAAAGTCGCAAAAATCGCAAAATCAGCGGAAATCAGAAAATTTAGAGGTTATTTCATGTTCAAACGCACAGTAATATGAAAATACCGTAACAAAACAAGAAATTACCGTACACAAGAAGTCATAGAGTGGCCACACTACTCATATAAACATTGATGAGAACGCAATCTACCGGAGAATCTCCGAAAACACGCAATCAACGGACGGCTCTGAGCCGTCTCTTCACATCCGGCCCAGCGCAGCGCGGACTGCTGAAAGCCGTCCGTTTTAAGCTTTCAATTTCTGCATCAAATTGTACGAAATACTTTCCACCTTAAAACGACTTTTTCTTAGAAATTTGGACAAATACACAATTCTGATGAAGATAAATATCTGCGAATTATCATTAAGTCCGCGCTGCACTTTAATAGGATGTTAATGTCTCTCCAGCAAAATTTTAAACGTGTCCCTCAGAAGTTTGCGGTTATTTTGTTTCATCTGCAAGGTTTCCTTTTAATAAGTCATCTCAGGGGATGTCTATCACTGCTGGGTGAGAGTAAAAAATCTAACTCATGGAAAGTAGAGTCCCCGAAGAAGACATCATCTGAGATAATTGCTTAACTAAATACGCACCAAATTATCCCGGAAATAGTTAAAGAAGTCTCCACTAATGTTAGCGTGTGTGAGGTAAGTAAATCACATCCATAAAATTTCAGCAGCGATGGAAAATAATGCTCACCTTTCAAACAAGTATGGACGACATTCAAATACAAAGAAGTTAGCTTATTACATAGCGGTGGCTACAGTTTTCCCCATACGAGAAAGACCGAGCTCGGTAAACCTCTGTGGTCCCTAAAACCGAGTGGAACAAAGAGATTTAATGCCCTTTTAAATTTTTCAAAATTACAATAAACCGTTGACCATCAAAAATAGTTGAGTGCCACAACCACTAAAAAGGCTTGGAAGAGATGCTTCATTCAGCCAAAAGTCAAAAGAGCTCACTCTTAAATTAATAATCCATCATTTTCATTTTAGGTGTCGTACGATGATACAGTGGTGAATTTTGGGAATATCATCAACTATACTTACATTCAAGCACATGCACCCACACATGTAAAGTGGCCGTTTGAAAAGGGCATACTTTACACACTCATCATGACATGTGAGCATTTTCAGTTGCACAACTTCACATCGGATGTTTCAGTTCTGTTTCTTTGATCAAAATTGTATGCCTTAATAAAAAAAAAAAAAAATTTCATTCATTGAAGCTACATCTTCAGAGATAACTTTTCACACCTGATTTTAAGTGACATTGTGTGTAATTTGACGTTTTACTGAACAAAATTGTGCCCTAACTATAATCATACTTATCCGATTATCCCGAGTAGAAACAAGGCAACTTTATGGCTTAAAATTTCAACAAAACATTCTGCTAACAGAGAAAAAAAAATCAAGGAAGTTTTCAAGAAATTGCTCTGACCAATTTTTCAAAGAAAAAATTAAATATGAAAGGAAATCTGTGACGTAGTGAACGGAGATACGTGGTTGCGCACTTTCGTATTCGATACATACGGCACTTATAGTCCTACACAACTGCAAATAGGTATTTTTCAAAACTCTCAGTGCAGGTATGACTAGTTTATGCCTGGCGCTATTCGATTTACCATGAACATTAGTCGGAAATAGGACTGAGAATGTATTAGCTACTTAAATCTTGTTTTGATATTTCATTTAGCGCCGGATGCTCCAGCAAGAGAATACCACAAAGAACGTGAAGTAATAATGTGGTTAGTTGGCAACATACCGGAAAATGACATAGAAAACGGAACTTCAATAGCTGATTACGTGGGTATGGTGCCATTCTATGTGGAAGGTATGTAAGGCTGTCATCATTATCTTGTTCAATTTATGCCGCCATGGGCTGTCAATCATTACAAGATACAATTATAAATAGACGCCAATAAAATATTTCATTTGGCCGTATAATAATTAAAATTTTAAATGTCATGTTGTTTGACAAGTTCTAAAAGTAGTTCAATCGAGTTTTAACTACAAAATTGGTTTTATTTTCTTTCTCAATAGCGAACTATTTTTTTTTTCTAATTCGAAGGTCTTCATCGCTACATATACTTCGTTTATGAGCAAGAGGATGCAGGTGAAATAGATTTTTTATACGACGAAGTTTTTCTCACTTCAAAGTAAGTATAAGTAATGATTTAGTTTTATCTCAATTTTTCTCCGGAGTGGGTGAACTTATGGTTATGCAGCGCAAAACTTACAAAGATCTAGATGCGCGTCGTGCTCGATCGGACGTATTTTTACCGAACAGAACTATGTGCGGGTGGGGAAGATGGGGTGTGCTCGTGGCGAGGTGGATAAGAAACAATGTGAAAGTGAGCGTGATTCTTCTTGGTGAACTGGAAAAGCGGGATTTTAAATTCAGAAAACGGAACTACATGTACAAACTGTATGCGGGACTCATGAGCCGTACAAGAGCGTTGTAGACAGGGCCCATAAGCTGTATTTTTGGCTCATTGGCTGTACAAGCCACAACCATTACCTGAACTATATGACTTTACTTTATTTAAAATTTGGACGTTTATTGGTTCTGTAATTCATGGTAATTTAGATCCGAATCGCACCATTCCCACCTGCGTTTGAGTGTGTTTGCTCCTGTACAGCACACCCCTTTGAAAAGTGAAATCCCCCAAAAAATTGACACATGGCCTAATATAAAGTAAGAGGACTCAATTGAAATTTTTAATTCAGAGCGTAAGATTATTCTGATAAGATTTTTTCTACTCTGTCGGATCTAGAAGTATCTCTGGTTTTGGAGGATTACAAAACAATGCAAAACGTTAATGAGCGAAATTTACTTTTAATGTGGATGTCTGGTCTAATTTCAGAGAGCCTGTTCTTTTGCGTGCTTACCATGACTCCGAAGAATTTCGTCAGACTCATGAATTAGGATCAATTATCGCGACGAATTTCTTTTACATGAATAATGAAAAATAAGGCATTATTTATTCAGTTACTTCATCTGAATTTCAGGTGAATTCTTTGATTTACCCTCATTAAACGTTTTTATTATGGTGCATAGATTATATGAAAAGTAGATGTGAAAAGTACAATTCCATAAGACTCCAATTAATAATCAAGATCAATGGTATTATGTATAAATCTGACTATCTTAATTCCTTACCAAGCAACCTGATAAAAAAATAAAGAAAATAGTTTTCAACATGAGCCCTCACTATGCTGTGTTTTTTCTATTGACTTCTGGGTTACTGTGCGTGGTTCACTGGGGTATACTACCAAGAATACTCGGGTAACTTTCTCGGATCAAAATGTCTTTAGGCGCGAAAATTTATTTGAAAAAAAAACCTAAAATTCTGAGATCTGGATTCTCAGCCGGGTAATTGGCATGGGAGCATGGATTATTCCTTTTTTTCCGACCATTTTCATGGACTCTATTATTTATAGGTAGTTTTTGCCTTTTTTGGATCGAAATTTTAAAAATTTCTATGACCGCAAAAACATCCTTTAAAAATACACTAAAACTTCCGAGCTTCAGTTTCTCAGCTGGGAAAACTGGCATGAATGTATAGAGTATTCCCTCTCTTCCGATTAGTTGCATTGACTTCATTATTTGTAACGCGTTTAAAAAGAAAATAAGAAAGAGGTTAACCCAGCGCGGTGACGTAAGTGACGACCAGAAGCACGCAGCACGCAGTGTAATTACCAATCATTACACGTGCCTCTTACATGTTCTCTTTGATTTGTATGACTTAACCCTTTCTTTTTGCAACGTCACTATGGCTAATCGAGGAGAGCTGAGGAAGAAGAAAAAAAATATGATGAGCATTGCAAATTTGTCCAGTCTTGAAAAAAAAGGAAAACAAATTGACAAGCGCCTCTTCATCTTCTTTAGGAGTACATGATGTATCAATCACACGTGTGAATGATTTACGTTCATGTGCGCTGTCCATAAATGTCCATAATATTGGAGCTATAATGAGTTAGGTCACTGTGAAACAATTTACAATGATGCCGTACAGAGAAAAACTAATAATTCAAACAACTCTAGGATTAATGAGTGTTTTTGGTGTCTGGATTGAATCAGTTGACCGATCAGATGCTTTATCATTTCCTGAAAAGACACCCAAACAAATTCGAGACGCTCTAGTAAAGTATGCGATTGTTCGACGGATACTACCTCACGCACCGAAGCATGCTGTTGAAGTGAGTAAGTTTGATTTCTTTACATTATTTGGTTAATTAAATGCAAAATGTTGTATTACGAAAGACACTTGACATTATTTCATTGATTTCAATTTTTCTATTTTCATTCAGAATATATTTAAGTTCACAAAGTTAAATTGAGTTTAGAGATGCTGTCGGACTCCGTTCAGAAAGATAAACCTAGTTACCTATTAGATAAGAAATCTTTTTTGCAGAAAAGCGTCGAACCTTGCCTAAAGCATCAATTTTGTTCCAATTGCCGACATAGTTCTTCTTTAAGAGGTTGTTATTTCCAAATATAACTTCGGAGGATATTCATGGAGATGTATGTCTACGAATTGATTATTTGCAGCCATAATCCGAAATTACTGACGAGACGAAATTTGAAATAATATCCAATTTTATTGTTCGCCTTTAAAAAATATTAAAGACAATTTATTTTTCCCGGAATTTGTTTTTTCTTTCTTTTTTTCTTGGAGGGAAGGGGATATTTTAATCTATGTCAAAAAATTTACATCCAAATGTGTAAAGCTTGGCGGTGAGAATTTCCACTGGGTCGATCTCACAACCAACATTATTATTTGCTTTCCAAAACCTAAATTTAATTCAAATTTTACGATTTCTGCACGTTTTAAAAGGTTGCTTACGGTGACGCGATTGTAAATTTTGGTAATAAATTAACTCCTGAGCAAATCGAGGATCAACCAGATCATATTTCTTGGCCCATAAAAAAGGACACCTTCTACACACTTGTATTATCAGGTAAAAATGATATTTTTAACATTTGAAAATAAATAACCCCCTGTTCTTTATTCGTAAAGTGCGGCGAGCTTTTCTTTGTGATACGGTTTGCAATTAAAGATGCTTCGGATTCTTTAAGAATAGCAACACCTCGATCTAAGTATTTGTGCTCAAAGGATGCGTCCATATTGCATACACATAAAATGGCAGGCTCTTTGCCTCTCTGAAATGCAACGCCTGGCTGCAACTATAGTAATATTTATGCATCATACAGTTATTGCTCTGCATCAACCATGACAAACTTCGATGTTAAGCTGAGCATCATTGCCAAATTCTGCAATTTGTAGAGACATTATTTAGCCACGAATTGCGGAAAGGTCAAAGAAATGATTGTGCAGAAACGTTTGACAAAAAATTACACTGACCTTATTTTTCTTATTTCAAACGAGAGGTTGTTGAAATTACCTATGAAACACTCAGCTCTGTGAGAATTCTTGCCAAATAGGAAATCTGCACAAGATTATGTAGCCTAACGAATACATTTCAGGGCCTGATGTACCAACTCATGAAAAAGCAGTCGACAAAGAGATTCAACACTGGGTGGTTGGTAACATTCCGGGCAACAATGTCTCTGCTGGGGAAACTTTGACGGAATACAGAGGAATAATTCCACTTTATGAGCCAGGTATGTAAAAAAATTATTATTTTCATAAAACGGTGACGCATCTTCCTGGTGTATAACAAAAATATGGATCATTGTTTATTGAAAATGTCCACAAGGTATGAAGGATCAACAAAAAAGTGTTAAAAAGCACGTTTTTTTGTTAATAGTTCAATTTTTAATTCGCAGTAAACTTTGTCCACAAGCCGTGGACCAAAGCACCACAGCCAGAGAAAATTTTGCTAGGAGGACAAAATCTATACCAAATATTTGCCTACTCTATGGCCAATATTTATGATTTTTTAAGCGACGCACAGTGAATCGAGGGGAGGGGTTGGACACAATTTGGAAACTTTACAAGCTTACAACTCCGTTTATACAAAATATTGAGGTTTCAAAAAATTGGTTCAACAAGTTTTTTCGTGAAATTTTCTTCTATAAACACCCTTTAATATGTAAAATGTGACGAAATAAACATCAAAATTTGTAGTTTTAGTCGTCTAACATTTCATGTCCAACCTCTCTAACCGACTCGATCCACTGTGTGTTGCCTAGAAATTTTCACTATTGATCCATTCCCTCTTCCTTTTTACAGGCAGCCATCGGCTTTGCTATTATGTTTACGAGCAACCGGACGAAGAAAAAGTAACATTCAAAGATGAGCATGTCAACAAATCGTAAGTCGTAAAATATTTATGGCATGATTGAAAGTTGCATTCTTATTTAGAAAAAAGAAGACATTATTTCGATATTCAAATTATCTTCAATCATCACCATGATATTGTTGCGGAATAGTAATGTGGACTGTTCTTGTTCGCTTACCTAGAATTTACGTGACAGGATAAGCGAGTTTCCAAGTAAAGAATAACTGAAAATATACGGCAACACTTGCGTGAAGGTCATTGAAGATCTTTTCGTAACACTAAAGATCATCTGAGCATCATGATGCTGATTTATTTTTACTGAGTAAGTATAGTAGTTGTAAAATCGTTTATTTTAAAACAGTGCCTCAGCAAACATGGCCGTTAGCACCTGACTCACTAACACCTGATCACCGATGGCTTTCTAAGATTAATGAAGAATAAAAAAGAAGAGAATTTAATATTAGATTAAATCAATCAGAACTAAGAGAGCAAATAGTCATGAGTATACGATTTATAGCCGTAAACCCTTTCACAGGGTCAAAATATGGGAATTAAAATTATGTTTATGTCTCCAGACAGATAACCCTTTTTTAAATTTTTCAGAGTAATCGGTTATCAACGAGCGTTTTTCCACGCGGAAGTTGTGCGGAGCAAATATAATTACGAAGAAGCAATCGCTGCAAACTTTTTTATTGTAGATACAACTGAGGAAGATCAACAGATGACAGCTCGGTGACCTAGGGATGGGAACAACTAGGCAAAATTTAAACGTTCAAAAGCAAAAAGCTCTGCTGTCTTGTTTACGAGAGAAAGGGTAGTAGAACTGAAATTATTTCAAAATATTTTTAAAGTAGAAGCCATAATTCAATGCTGGAATAATAGTCTGGGCCACATTTTCTGAAAATAGAAGGAACCTCCTCAAAAAAAGGGCCGAAATTTGCCTCTTTTGAGGTCTACAAATCGGTCGACAGCATTTGCCCCAAATTGAAGCCTATGATGCCACAAATATTACGGGAAATTGTCAGCTAGAGCTAAACAGTGGTTACGAAGATACAAGAGGATGAAATGGGGAACTAAACGGTTGGCGGTGCGCTCTTTCTGCGACAGTTCCTCAGAAATCGATGGTGAAACTACCACATCACGTATCTCGGTTTGCAGAATTACAGATTTCCTGTCATAATTTATTTTTTAAATGGAAAACCACTCAACGCTATTTCTTAAAAACCTCCTTGATTTTTCTTCTGGATGCGAAGAAAATTTTGTGAGAACTTCAAGGAATAATTTGGTTTGTTCTCCTATAAATAATTAAATGGGAACGGAGATTTACAACAACCGCAAACAAGATACATGGTTTAGGAGTTTCACTGTCGAAATATCGCAGGAAGAGATAATGATAAGAAATATGCCGCTGAGCATTTCAAACTCGTATCTCCGAAACCGCTTTTCAAGTCAAGCAATGAATATTTCCTACAAACGGATGTTAGTGATTCAACTTCGCTCTCTTTACTTCATTTGTCCTTCCATTTTGTCTATGAGTCACAGCACAGCCCTCACAAACCTTGCTCTGAAATAATTGTGATTTAATTTACATGTGTATTATAAAAATAATTGCTATTTTTTACAAGTTTTTTGTAAATAGTTTATAGTGTTCATGTTTAGGCTCCCTGTAAACCTCGGAAACATAATAAAGACATTATTTTGATAATCACTGTATACATTTTTTTGTAATTTCCCACGTGAAAATTGACCATCTAAACAGGATAAATAGCACCACAGTACACAATTTCTCGACAAAATTTTACTTTGATGACGAAGGAGACAAAATGCTCCAACTTTACTCAAGCTGAGAATTTCTTATTTTCTTCTTCCGTCAATTCAAACTTTTTACATCCCAAAAAACCAGTTTACGTAAACCAAATTGGGAACAAAATGACTTTCAGTACCTCAGGATGAAGTAATCACTGTGGTGAATTTTTTGTCACAAGTAGAGAAGCAATGTTTATTAACCCTCTGATGCCCAAGCCTGTCAAATTGACCAGAGGTTTGCTAAAAATACGTGGTCCGTAGATGTGGGGACGGTACATACGATTTTTAGATGTAGGTCTATGAATGCATCGTAATAAACGAATAGGACATCAAATTGAAACAAGTTGGTTTTTGCAATCCCTAGCGATAGCAATATTCGTCATGGGAACTTTAGCTTCTGGAATATGAAAATTTTAAGGTACAGTTCGTTTGCAGTATCTTCAGAATTGAAGGGGCTATGTAATTTTGTGTCAACATCTCTTTTTTAACATTTTTAATTTTTTTTTCTTTGCATACAAGAAAGCTGTTATTTACCAATTATTTATTTTCGTTGGATTATACATGGTTTTCGGAAGTTAACGCATTTAACTTTCAGTTTCGCTTTTTCGGCGTAAAGTATGATATTTTTACTCTACACATATGCCCGAATACGCATCATAAGTGACCTATGTGCCTTCTAAGTTGCCATTTTTTCATTTAAATATATGTAACTGAAATGTTCGATGTGCATTATACTACTTTCATGTCATTGCTTTATTTATTTTTTGAAAAAAGAAAATACCATCATTAATTTGGGCGAACAGAGAAAATATACATCAATATTTGGGTCAACATCTCCCTGATTATATAACAGATGAATATATTAGTATTTCTGTATCAAAAAACTTAGCTTTTGACTTCAGAGATACACTGATTCTAGTCCAAGGCAATTTGTTTTATTGAAAAGACAAAAAAAAAAAAAATAAAAAAAAAAAAACAACAACTGAAATGTTAGACATACTATTTTCATGTCTTTCTATTTGTATCAATAGGTACATCTTGCTTAACTTACGAACGTTGAATGCAGATAAACTTTATTGAAAAAAAGAAAATAACTTCATTAATTTGGGGAAACATGTGGCTGATTATATGAGGGAGGTATATTCCAGTATTTTTGTTTAACATATTAACTCACGAGAAAATGTTCGTACATTTATCATCTAGTATTAATTATTTTTGATGATTGGTCTAAAACATTCAATACAACCATTAAAAATTAACTCCCATCGCCGGGTATCGAACTCCCGATCACCTATTGCCCGCACCTTATCAAAAAAATGGGGCGCCTCAGTCAACTAGGCTATCACAGATCCGCGGCCCTATTGGAAAAAATAGCATTTAAAAGACTCGGACGGTGGGCGGGACTTATCACAAGAGTTGTCCTTGAGCGATTCGCGTCTTCGTAGCTTCTGAGATATGATCGAAATGAGCTAAGCGCCTTTCTCTGTGAGACATTGTTTGCCTATGCTATCATGTGTCTCAAGGTTCATCTCAGTATGCATTTGCTATCGCGGCAGTAAGCTGAGGCAATATTTCTGTATTCATGGAATAAGTCAATCAATCGAGTTCCAATTTTGGCTCATATATCCGTAACGAGTCCTCCAGAACAATTTTCCACCTTGTAAGATGGTTATTATTTCTTTACTTCTATTTTTCAAATTTGAGGTGGGATAATGGCGGCTTCTCAAGAGCACCGAGGTAGGCGATCTTTTGCACCAACGAACAGAAAACTGATGGCGAAAAATAACCAATCAGAACCTCCCAAAAAAAAGAATTTGCCCGAAATCGGAACTTCGTGGTTCTGCGCAGATTTACCAGTCAGACACGACATCTCAAGGTGGAAAAAAACTCGCTGAAAGCGAATTTTACAAATCAACACAACTTGACGTAGAGACATGATTGGCTAAAAAATACAACGGTTTTTGATACATCGGAAAATCAACCAAAAATCGAACACCGGGCGAAACGCTCAAGGTCGCAGAGGCATAGGGAATCCCATAGCGAAAGCATCGGAACGATTGTAATATCATGGGGAACTCCGTTCCCATGACAAAAAAGAAGAAATAGAGGGTCAATACAGCCGACGATGGGAAAGACGTAATACTGCCTCGTTTTTAACCTCTCCTCCAACTTGAGCGACACTATCTTGGCAGCGTGAAGCAGAGTTGACGCTTCGCGTCAACGCGCCTTCAATTTTCCAGGATGCAGCATGGACATCCACCGAGTACGAATAGTTGTATCTTTGCGCCTTCATCAACGCGCATCCTTTCTCTTGCTCTCCACTTCCATGTTGTGTTTTTTTCCGTTTGTCGTATTTAAAGCGGTGCTTCAAGTGGTGCGTGCGCTCCGTAGCAACACAGAGGAAAGATGTAATCATTTCTCGCGAAAGACATTTTAAATGAGGATCTACTCTCTAATTTTAGTAAATTAATTTTTAAATACACCTAAGACTGAAATCTGGAACGAAACACTCTCCGTTTAACTTTTAATTTTTTGGAATGATATTTTGTGAGGCACTGTTTACTTTAGGGTACTCTCGACATAACCACCACGCAGCGACGTAGCCCCGCGTCCATTCTCTTACCAATGCTTCGCGCCCTTTCATCAATCTGGGATTTCCTCCGCATCGGCGCACAGTGGATCGAGTCAATCAGAGAGGTCGGACATAAAATGTTTGACTAAAACTGCAAATTTTGATGTTTATTTCATCATACTTTTAATAAAAAGGGGTACCTCTTAAAGAAAATTTCACGGGAAAACCAATGGAGCCACTTTTATAACCTCAAAGTTTTGTAAAAACTGAGTTATCAGCGTTTAAAGTTTCCAAATTTTATCCGACCTCTCCGATTGACTCGGTCCTCTGTGCTGCGCGGCGTCACGTTAGTATTCCACGCTGATTACCATCGGATAACCTGTATTACAAATGGACGTATTTAAATAAAAATGAACTGTATCAATTACGACATGGTTCCTATAATACATGTATTCCTATGGATCTCAGGGCTCATGTCAAAGTGGGCATAGTTCATTTTGATTAAAAGACGTCCGCGAATATATATCGATTGCCGCGATATCTGTGACCGGTCGACATTTTCTAGAAGATTAGTGACACCTAAGCCTGACGACCAAAACTACAATATGGGCGTAAAATTATAAATATTAAGTTGAATGTGGTGAGCTATTGTCGTTCAGTATCAACCAAAGCCGCAATCGATATCGCATACAATAAAATGACTTACAGCGTAGTGATAATTTGACCACGTTAAGCAGAAAGGAACCAAGCCATATAAGCCAAGCTAAATTTAATTTTTACATGAAAACGGTTGTGCGGATTTTTGTGCAAATTTCAGTAAATTTTCTGCATAGTGCGAGGCGCATTCCTTTAAATTCTCAGAAGAATCTGCACGAACGTTCTCTTATAACAGCTGATGTGGCTTGGTTCCTTTCTGCTAAATGCGGTCCAGTTTGGAAGAAATTGTAGCCTTAGTTCTTCCGAAAAAGTCAGTGGCGTGAAATGCTCTGCTACTAGTATTATGCAACCTAACAAATCGCTTTTCGAATGACGACAAACAATGACGTAATCCCTCACATTGCCCCGCATGTGACTTTTAAATCACGTTTTTTGGAGCGTGGGCATTCCAAATCTTATTTCTTCTTCTTATTTTTCTTTTTTCTTTGCATATGGTGCTTTATTGACCCTCGTCTTCCGGCCATTCCCTCGCTGTTCTCATAGACTTTAGACAGCCCAGTCCTTGATTCTTCTTGACACGGTTCTTACCCTGTATCCTATACATTAAAAACTAGATGTTATTGTTTTAAGAAGGACTGTTGCCTGGTGCCCTTTTATTAAATATTTAAAAATTGAATGGAAACACATTGTAAATTACAGTGAACGATCTTAAAAAAATTACTTACAGTGGTCACTATGGTGTTGAAAATTACATTTTTTGTCAACATACATTACATTTTATACTTTATTCTCTCTTCATTGCCATTCAGCGAGCCAATGGTAGTAAAAGTACCGATGCGGACGCCGGCAGAGATTAGAGATGCATTAATGCGGCATGGTATTGTCCCTGAGTTAATCGAGAAAGCGCCAAAAGATGCGGTCGAGGTAAGAACTACAACATAACGCAATGTTTGGTCATTAAGAATGCAGTCATCAAACTGGAGTAGCAAAGAGCATTTGACTGTCTTCGTATGAGAAGTGACAGTTTTTTATTTTCTAGCACATAGTAATAGGAAATACTTTGACATAGTCTTTCAAGTCATTTATCTTATAATGTATAAAAAGAAACAAAGCGGTCATGGTCGTACAATGTTTGCCTTTTCTGCGTAAACTTTCAGCGGCTGTCAGGTGTGAATGGCCTTAGATGCACCGCTTTAAAATAAACTTATCTTACTACTACTACTCCTTTTGTCATTTTTCACTCTATGTTCATCTACTGTGATGCAGAGCGCGTCACTCAAATGCCTGGATCAGCACAACCCTTAATGTCACCGATACATACCCTGCCTGTATTCTTTCATATCCTATTTGATATATATGGAAACTTTTCCCCTGGATGATGCGAGCACCACCAGGTAACGCTTTTTACCATTAGGTTATTTACAGCTTTGTTGAAAAAAATGAAATATATCGAACAAACGTTTTAAAAAATATGTTAAATACTTGATTTACTTTTCGAGGTATATATTAGCTCACTCTCTTTCAATGGCTGGCAAATATTTTTGAAGAAAAAGTACGAAAATCTGTGGATAATTTGTGCTAACATATTTACAGACTTTACTGTATATTTCTGTGCGCTTTTGCCGAACTCTGATTTTATCATATCCCGTAGTTAAACAAATATTTTAATATATATTTCAATACCACAAATATCAACATTTTTCCTCGATTCTCATTGAATATACCCTGCTTTCATCACAGGTTACCTACGGGAAAAATATCGTGGATTTTGGAAATAACTTGACTGATAATGATATAAGAAATGAGCCAACCCACGTTAGCTGGCCAGCGGAAAAAGACTCATTATACACGCTCATGCTGATAGGTAAGTGTAAATGGATATTTGCCCTAAAAATGCACCTTACGAAATATAAAATAAAATAATTAGCCACACAATTAAAAAGTATGTAACACTGGCCATGACAATTGGAAGGGGTTGAATTTTTCATGAAACCTCTTGTCACCGCGCAACACGGAGGTGTACGACCATGCTTTCAATGAAGCGCAGAATGGAAAGTAAAAACTTTTGGTATGAAGAGTAAAAAAAAAAATAAAATAAGTAATGAATAAAATTCAAATGTGCATCAAAGCATAACAATTTAATAGTTTTTGCCATGCATTAAAGTTCAGTGCCTCTTACTGTACTGTTAAAAATTATCCTTGAAAATTAACCTATTTTTTCATTGATTATTCATACCATCCGATAAGTATATCATTCAGCGTATCAATGTAATTTTATGACTACTTCAAAAGCAACAGTCTCAGTGCTACCTGGCATTCTGCAGCATCCAATCACGGAAACCCCCTGTCATCTTGCAGTCCTTTAGGAGACTGGCACTCTCATTCTTTACTTAACTCTCTACCACCACCCTTTCAATAATTGACGTCCCATTGATATATCCTACACCAAGAGGAGCCTTGTCTATGACCAGTGGCCCGGCGTGCTTTGCGATCAGAGACAAGAGACCCTCCACTGGCCTCCTAGCAACAGGTGGAAGATTTTACTTTCGGGGATTCAACAGTTCTTTATGGACAATTATTAGGGAGCAACAGTCATCACCTCAATTTCGGCTGTTGACCTACCTACATGGTCAATGATGAGCTTCGGGTGACGTCATGAGCCAAACAAGTTTTGCAAACTTCGGCCATTTTCGACTTGTTTGCGAAACGAAACTGCCAACACGTTGTTAAACATCAACCATGTAGGTAAGTCAACAGTAGAATGCTGAAGTCCCGAAAGTAAAAGCTTCCACAATGGCCAAGATACTAGTGGAGGGTCTCTTGTCTCTGTTTGCGATGTATCGATTATTTTTCCTTTTATAATATATAAAGTCGCTTTATAACGCACTCTGGCGTTCTACGACACCCAAACGCCACATATGCCTGTCTTCCCAGAGGTTATCGGGCAACTGACACCGCAATATCTCTTCGTCAACGCCCTGCCGCCAACCCTTTACGGGACGTCCCCGTCGCCTCTTCCCAGGAGGTACCCAATCCAAAACTTGTTTGGGCAACCTCTCCTCCGACATTCTTTGCACATGTCTATACCAGCATAACTGCCTGGACATGACGTCGTGCACGATATCTTTCTCAACCTTCATCACCTGGCAAATTCTCTCATTACGGACATTATTAAGCGCTCAGCCGATAGGCGGCGCTTTTTGATTTCGATTTGCCACTAGAGCTCTAGTATAGTAGGGGGCTCAAGCGATCAAATGGCGCACCAACTCATCGATGCACGAAACGCCATTTTTACTTTTTTTTTTTTTGATTACCTCATTATGCCTCTGTGAATACGATTAAATGCAAATTAGCGTGAGAAATAAATAACAGTCCTAAAACTCTCTTCGCTATGCGGTTTATAGTTATCCTATAATTACTTTCGAAAGTTCAAGATTCGCGTTCTGATTTCCGAAAACTTTTCCACCGGTGATAACCTTATTCGGAGACCTTAGTAGAATTCGCCTACATCTAGGTTATGTGTCTTTGACCTAGGTACTGGAGAGTATTGCCATCCTTTTGCCCTTCTCTGATTGGTTCATGAGTTTTGGCGTCTTTGGCCCTCTTCTGGCTTAATAAGATCAATGTTCATTTTCTGTAGGTACATAGCCGCGATTCAGATTCAGATGACACTACTCTCCCGTATTTGCTTCTCGCGTCTCGCTTACTCCTTTGTGTTTTCATATTTCGTCCATCTCCCTCCATCCATAATTAATTCCATAATCCATCCGCCTCGTTTAAGATTGTGTTGTGAAATCTAAGATTGTGAAATTGTCTGAAATTTGAAGCATAATATTTTGGAATTATTCAACGTATGTGTCTTGTCTTCAGACTCGTTCTGCCCACCTCGTGAAGTTTGTGAAAGTTTCTGAAGTATAATGCTGTGAAATTATTTGACCAATTATCATGCTACCTCAGAGACTGTTTTAGTGTTTTTGGGTTAATTAAAGTATGTCAGGTAGGAGATCTGCCATTTGCGATACATGCAAAATGCTTCATTATACTAGTGTACCACAGTTGTTCTCAAGCACCAATTACAACACGGTTTGCATTTTTATGCTGAATAGCATAGATAAACGACTGGAGCATTTTGCGCAGCTCAAGCGCAGGGATTTGTACCTTCGTAATTGTCACCACCTCATCGCTGCAAATTATGAAAAGGACCACTCGAGTGTATCCTTGATCATAGAATATCTGTCATTCTCAAAGCGATGTCGTCATCACATCCCTGTCAGTTCACAACTTCTAATTATTGAGTTTAACTAGGTGTCAAAAAATCTGAGATATCTGAAGTAGCAGAAAATTGTGTACTTTCAAAGTCTAAGATTTTTTGCGGCACCGACAGTTTCATAAATCTTCCTTATAACACTCTACTCTGAAACCGCTACATTCTACCTCTCACATTGCTCCATAACAAAGGTATGTGTTAGCCTCTTATTTGTACTAAAAATTCTAGGTTTCATGACTCATTTACTCATTCACTCTCTGGTGAATTTGGTTCTGTCAGATTCATTGCAAGACACCTTATGTGTTATCTCCGCAGACCTAACACAGGCATTTGAACGCTCAATGAGAGCGAAATTTCAACTGGCCCGTTGTCTACTTTTCAGTAAAGAAGGTAAATAACCTTCCTTAAGGACTCGCTTTGAGACGATAAAACAAGGTTTCTCCATTACTTACCGTAAGACGATAATAAGTGTTCCACCAGACTATGTAGGAGATGAGGTTGAAAGTTACATCACCTCCATGTGTGAGGAAGTTTTCTTACCTACAACCTGATTTTATGACTTACAATAACAAAAGATACTGCTTTCGCCTGGCATTTTTTCATGCGTCGCATCGTCTAATAAACGGGGACCTACATTTACTTGATTCCATGAATAGGTAAAATGGCTCAGAGAGAATTTCGTCGAATGATCACTACGGCCATCTCTCATCCAGTTGGAGAACTTTTACTTACCTTTGATTAAAAAATTCATGAACCATAGAGTTTTTGGAAATTGAGTACACAATATTATTGTGAAAGATTTTTGAGGTTGAGTCTTTGTTTACATTCTCAAAGTATCAAAAGTTCTACAGTTTCATCGTGTTTCCTCCTAACTTTATCAGCTTATGAGCAATGGCTCCTAATTTACTCAACTCCTCAGCAGGCCAAAACTCTATACCTCTACAGACACATATGAGAATCATGCGTTTCAACGAAACCTACGAGTCCTCTTATCATCACTCAGGAACCACCGATCTTTTCTGCAGGTGTCATGGACCATTCATGACAAATACTGTTGCAACCACCCTTATCCTAGGTACATATCTATGCATAGTAATTCTAGTGATCAGCTCCATACTCACAATGTAATTTCTGTAAAATACAGTTGGACGGTGGAATTACCAGACCCCGTATCTCGGTTTGCGACGTTGTAGACTTCCTTTCATACTTTCTTCTTTACACGGTTAACCAACCAACATCAATTTATAAAAACTTCTGCAATTTTTCTTCTCTGTGCAAAGAAAACTCTGTGAAAACCAAGGAGGAAAAATGATTTGTTCTCTGTCAAAAGAATAAAATGGGAGCGGAGATTTTTAAGCACCGCAAACGAGATACATGGTCTGCTAGTTTCACTGTTAACTTGTTACGATATACCTATACCTACAATATCCCTATAGATTACATTGAAGATATTACTGTCCCTGTAACAGTGACTGATTCGAATGTTATCACAGTAGAGGGTTTCAGATATTTGGGCCAGCATGGTTTATTAATTACACAGAACGTAAGTTACCTTCATAAAATAAGGCGTAGAGGCAACTTCTGCCTTTGGTTGGCCAGAAATTTCTGTAAACGCATTTAAATTCCTAAAATTTATGAGAAATTCCGAATCTACTAAATGAAAGCAAGGATTTCAGGAGAACATGATTAACAATTTGCTGTCAGAAGGAAAACTGTGGAAGGAAAGTGGGAAAGATTTTTCACTATGGCTCAACATAATATGAGGAGGAAAAAATGAATGTAATTTCCGTTTACCCTGGTTATAATTCTGGTATTGCAAGAATTCTCTTTCTCTATTTACGTAATTACGTATTGGATTATTGTATTGTATGAAATCCTGTTATCACGAAGACAGAGTATCATAGAGCATAAACAATAAACATAGGAAAGGTTGTGTCTGATCATGAGTCATTAGAAGGTTTTAGCGTAGTGTGCTGCAACCTAGCGGACACATGGTGCCTTCGATTCGCGAAAAGTTACCTTCAGTACTCACAATCAGTTGCAGTTGATTGATTTCGTTTATTGTCTCATCATTTACCTATTAATATATATATTTCGTTCATTTATTTACCTATAATATTTTTTACGTGTCCAATTAGGGCATCATTAAAACAATTAATTTGGCCTCGTTAAGTGATACGTTCATCTTTGATACATTTTCTTCAAATGATCTAGAAAAGTTATTTTTTTGGAGCCGTAATAGTTTTCTCTGTTTTTATGAGAAATCGAGGATTTTTTATGTATTAATATTTCGGTACTTAAGTAATGGATCATTATTTTTCTTATGGATCTTGGATTTTTTTCGGGGGGGGGGGAGGAAGCACAATTTTAGATGTTTTAATTATTGCAAATTTTAACATACTCAGTTAATAGGTAGTAAATTAAATCTGGGACTCATTAAAATTGCGCTCACCGCTGAGCGCTTTTCTAATACCCACGTATTAGAGCTTTCCCGCTTGTTTTGCCTTTTAACCTATGGAAAAGGATCGATAAGCAGGGTGTTCACAACAAAATCGATTCCTTGCCATATCTTCAAATTGGGAAATACCAATAATCGATCATTTACGCCTCGCCACTGTCAAGGAACTTCTTCAGCAACCTATCATCTGACATCTGTATATGATTATAATAACCCATCTGAGTTACTTTGTCTTCATGTTACAGACGACATGTGTGACATGGAGCACTCTCGCACGAGTTCTCTCATTTCAAACTCGATTGCCTCTTGAAACACAGAGACCCCTAGCTTCCAAATCCCATTTTTAGCGCTCCATTTACCAACCCGCGAATCGCATACTCGGTGCCATCTTGTTCTTGCGCTATCACATAGTTGCCAAGTCATTACACCTCTCGTCAATTAATTAATAATTTAATATCTCATGTAGCATCTCGCCTCTTTTTTATTACATTATTTATTGAATATTCTACTTATTAATTATTTAGGGCCCGATATCCCGACTCACGAAAATCCTGAAGACAAAGAATGTCAGCACTGGATTGTTGCCAATATACCGGGGGACGATCTTAAAATTGGCCACTATCTATCAGAATACGTTGGAATCCTGTCTTTTTATGAACGAGGTAAGGAATTTTTCATAATTTTATGGGAGCATTTTGCTTAAAATTTGTATAAGAAAGCACTGCAGGTAGTAAGTAGTTCCTTTTTAAAAACTCACCACTTTCACTTTTAATTAAATTCGTTAGTGAAATTAAATTAAAATTAAATCATATGAAATTAGTTTTTGCATCAAAAGTGAAAGTGGTGAGTTTTTAGAAAGATTTTTACCATTTACTAAGTACTTTCACTGTTTGTTCCAATTTTCATCAACCAGTTCCTTATCTTCTAATTTGATATTATAACCCATCAACCACCCCCATCGATTTTCTTTTCAGTTCCTTATTTTCTAATTTGATATTATAATAGCCATTAACCACCCCCATTGATTTTCTTTTCAGGCACCCATCGTCTTTTATTCTTGGTGTTCAAACAATCATCAAAAAACACGCCACTCAAGTTTGAAAAGAAGGAATATTTAGCCAAGAAGTAAGTTCATCCATCATTGCATTGCTGTTAGATTATATTTATTCTTTTTGACCTGAATTTATTACTCCCCATTAATAAGACTTAAACGTGCTCTTATTCAATTTTAATCCGACACATCCATAACGACCTCAGATTACCTGTAGGATCGTATAATTCTTTTGGCTCTTTGAAAAAACATCCTGAAAAAAAATTACGCGGAAAAAACAAAAAGTGGTCAAGGGCAGCGAGAACGGATTCTGCAGTGATAAATTTTAAATCCAAACTTCCAGCGGGTCGATTATTGAAATTGATAGACAAAGCTATAGACAAAGAAGACAAAAGGGATTTGGAGGGATCCTATCGGTGGAAGCGGGTGGTTGCAATGGGCAAAGGACGTGGGTGATAGACTAACTAATGGCAACCCACGAGAGACCCGATAACTAGTCCATCATTTTCTCCCTTAGTCTATAAGAGCCACCCATTTCTACCTATTGGATCGCTTCTTACTCTCTATGTATTCTTTGTCTATTGCTTTGTCTATCAATTTCTATAAGCAGTCCGCTGATCATTTCTGGTGAAACGCAAATAAACTTGAAAGCACTGCGTAATTGTTAGAAGCTATAGAGAGATGCCTTAGACTCGACTGCTTGATTGAAAAAGAACAACATTGTTAGGAGCGCTCTTCAGAAAAACAGTTTGATTGAAACGACCCTACGGTAGCTTGCTTAAAGTATCTATGCCTTTGTAAAATTTGCATTTTTAATGATGTATTCGACATTGACTTCTTCATTGACTATCTTGGGTTTATAATGTTACAGAATTGTCGGCTATATGCGGGCATTTTTCGTGTTTAAGCCTTTTGCAGCGAAGTATCGTCTAGGAGAACCAGTCGCAGCGAACTTCTTCTTGGTTCAAACCAAACCCCATCAACGCAATTTTAGTAATATTCAAGCCGGTTTAACCGCTCGCCACAAGACGGCCCCTTTGACTAAGGACAGAATGCTTGCGAGTATTTATGGAAAGTATTTTCGTTAAAATTGTTGATCAAATTTCTATCGTTCATTTTGCTGGATACTATATTTCTGCCAGCTTGCTGTTTTAATCATGCTCACAGATATAACTTGGACGTATTTCTTTCAAACGGAACTATGTGCATTATGACGTGAGCCGTGCCATGCATGTATACTCATGGGTCTTAGAACTCATGTCTCAATGCACATAGTTCTGTTTGGCAGAAATTCGTCCACCTCATAAAGATCGATGTTTGAATTTTTTTGCTTGTGATTAAAATTAGGATATAATTTTTCATTTTGTGAATTTAACATAACCATTCAAGGAAATAAAGACATTTTTTACCGCTTTTAAGACTGATTTTTTTTCGCTTTTTCGTTTTCAACCCAATCATACCTAAAACGATCATTTTCGTCGTTAAAAATGTGTATTGTGTAAGTCCACGCTAAGAGGTCCTTGTACTAGCTAACGTGATAAATAGTTTATGGTAATAGAGAAATAAGCACTCAGTCCTCAGCCAGAATACTCATCTCTGCCCAGGTAAAAATTGGCGATAGAAGCTGCGTTTCAAAGTACCATAGGAGTTCTTATAGCCGACTGAAGAAGGCGATAGAAAAGCATACAGCTGGATGTAGAAAGTGGAAAAAATCATACGGCCGGGCTACACGAAGCGATAAAAAATTAAACAGCCGGGCTATAGTTCCTGTCGCTGGGCTTTACACTTTATCGCCTGGCTGTTGCTTTTTCGCCATCGGCTATGAAAGGCTATAAGAACTTGTGTAGAAATTCGTGTGCTTTGTAAATCCGCAAGTTCGTACGGAATCACCATAATATTTACAAAACGCACATTATACTTTCCTTTTCTACATATTTGTTTTCATCAATTAAAATGAGAATAATCCATACAGAGTGTGCAAACATTTCAAAGTCATGAGTTGAACAACGCTGACTCCACGAGATTAAATATTAGAGCCTAACACTAAGCAGAGCGGCGGCGCACTGGCGCCTACAAACCTAACAGGGATACTTCACGCACTGCGCAATGCGTGAAGTATCCCTGTAAGGTTTGTAGGCGCCAATGCGCGTTTCGCGCTGGCTGCTCGCCCGCCGCGCTGCGCCGCAGCGTACCACGGCGCTTGAGGCAACTATTTCACACCAGAGGTATTGCACAGTATCGTACGAAATTGAAGGCGCTCCAACATATGAGGAATGGCAGGCATCCTTCAAAAGTATTAAGCTTCCCTCGCAAAATAAATCAAGATACTACGGCCCAAAAAGAGAGCGGTAGTCCAAAAACTCACTAAATCCTAGCACCCGTAATTAGTAACGCATAGCATACACTTTATCGTCAGGCTGTTGCTTAATCGCCATCGGCTATAAAAGGCTATAAGAAATTGTGTTGCCGGCTACAGAAGCTATTGGAAATCTCACAGTCGGCTGTAGGTCTATGGTATTTTGGAACACTGATTCTACAGCCAAATTTTTACCAGGGGGCAAATGTAATTCGTTCGAATTTAGAGGTTGATCCCCTTACAGTTAAAAAATAAATCAACGTCCAGTATTCGGACCATTATGAAATTACTTTTAAGAGATATCTATGAGAGGGACAGATGCCTCGGGTAGGATGCATTCAGAACGATCTTGTTTCTTGTGCAGTAATAGGTGCGCATGACGTTTGTTGATCAGATTGCAAACCTTTAAAACTTGTAAGTGTTTTAATTCGATCATTCTTCGCTGAATCTCCCCCCCGTTCCAGGGAAATAAACCAGAATAAGAGATGTAACCAAACCAGGACCAAACGCATAATCGCAAAGGTATTTAATCAGAATTTTTTTCATAACTCCTTCTCGGTGAAGTGCATATCGACGGTGAAACTACCAAACCACGTATCTCGGTTTGCGACGTCGCAGACTTCCTGTCATACTTCATTTTTTAAATGAAAAACTACTTAACGTCCGGTCTTGAAAATTTCTGTGATTTTTCCTCTTCGTGCGGAGAAAATTCTGTGAAAATTTCAAGGAGTGATATTAATTTGGTCTACTTCAAAAAAATAAAATGTGAGCGTAGATTTTTAAACACCGCAAACGAGATACGTGGTTTGGTAGTTTCACCGTCGATATATGCCTGCCCTCAAGCTAGGCTGGAGTGAAGGAGGCGAAAAGAGCCTCGTGCTAGTAAGTGTCTTTACAGGTTAGCCACAATTGTGGTCCCTAATTTTTGCACAACGAGGTCCAGTTGGAAAAAGAGCTCGTGTTAAAAATTCCGGATGTCAAGCGTCAATATAACTCCTTGGGCGAGAGATTACGGAAATCCGTAAATTAATGCAATGGGATCGGAGAGAAAGCTACTGCGAAGAAAAATAGAAAAACTCCTTCAATTTGGAATGATACTCTGCAATACATTGCAGCTCGTTTAGTTGTATCATTCTAATGTTCGAGATTTACTTACATTTTTTACATGCACCAAAATTAACTCTATTCCACGTATGAGTCCTCAGGCGATTCGATGGATGTTATATTTTGTGTCAGAACGACATGCGATATATTGCATTGATTAGTTACATTTCTTCAGCTACTCGTCATTGTTCTCGAATTTTGAGATCGCAATTCTGTTGTCAGGGCACGGAAAAAACAAGACTAGTGTTGAGCACTACTGGCCGTTTAGTGGGGAGTAGTTGAGGGCCGGCGTCTAAGCTCTGTACAGCTCAACACCGGAAGGCAGTACAGGTGGGCACTGAACATGAGTAGTGCTAATCAGATGCCNAGGCGAACGGTAGTGCCATATAGCCCATCCAGTCCGTGCTCCAGGTCCGCTGCTTATGGCCTCCACGGCCGGAGCTTTTTTTGAGTGATCTAACCCTCGTTAGTGCCCAGCACTAACATGTAGGTCCCAACCCTAAGCTCGTTTTTTCCGTGGGGGGCTAAAGAATTTGTTTACTTTTAACGAACAACTTCAACGTAATAAAGGAGTGATTTCTTCAGAGGAAAAATATCTCACTCGATACTGATATCGAAACTCAAATCGAATGCGATATTTTTCCTCTAAAAAAAAACACGTCTTTATTGCGTTGAATTTGTCTGTCAAAATTGGTAAGTGAATTCTTTGGTCTCCTGAAAAGAGAATTGCGATTACAAAATTCGAGAAAAATGATGAGTAGCTGAAATAAGGAAACCAATCGATGCGATGAATCGCTTGTCGTTCTGACACAAAATATGGCGTCCATCGAATCACTTTGAAGCCGTTACTTCTTCAAAATAATTATAGACTCTTCCGACCCGCACCAATAAGCACCGGAGGGAATCTTTTATAGTGTTTTCATGTAGAGTATAATGAATGTAAACATGACCTATAAATTCACCATAATCGACGGAAACCTGTTACAAGCAAAAGCTCACAAATCCAATATCAATTTGATAAATATTGAGACGTATATTTTGTCAAGATCAAATATGAGATTAAAAATGAACCCAAAACACATAATTAAACGATTGTTCCATTGAAAGCTGAAAGTTGCCTTTCAGTCGATCACACTTTAGTTTCAAGTAGTTTTATGTAGTTCAGTAGTAGAAATACACCTGTGCTTATTACTTGATAAAGAATTTCTAATTTCTCTGCCCTCAAAAAAATGCAAATCATGAGCGTGGCGAATACAGTTTGTAATATAGCTTTTTACGTAATATCGGGATTTTTTATCTTTATTAAGTATTTTAAAGGCTAAAGAATGGTACATCAACTGTATCATTACAAAATTGCCAATGTTGTAGTTTAGCTGCTCAAACATGTGAATGTTTTAGAGTTATATGCTCAAATTTGAACATATTGTGAAGAGCCAACGACGAGGAAGAGTGTTCGATACAATATTTTAAAGGATTTCATCAACCATTTTCCCCATGGGACTTTATTTCAAGAACTCTGAACTAGGAAACGAAACCAAGGTAATGTGATAATTCACTTGGAGAAGGCTCATTTTGTTGGATTTGAATGAATACATGAGATTTACAGCCATGTGAATGAAGACTGCATATGATGTAAAAATTGACTTTTTTTAAATAAATTTGTAAAACGGAAGCATATTACCACTGCAGAAAAGGTGTATATCTTATCACAACCGAGTATGAAGGGCTCATATATAGGTATGTGAGTCCATTAAAATGAGGAGTCAATTTGGATGAGAAAGTAGAAAAATAGATTCTTAATCCTCGAATTCTTTTGAAAATGCTCAGTGCTCCGTATTTATTGTACTGGAGATAATTGAATTACCGTAATAGTGTATTTCGTACGCACACGTCTGGTAAAATAGAAAAAGCGAATTTATATGAGCCATTTGTTTTAAAAATATTCAGCACCAGGTCTAAATCAAACTATGATTCAATTGTTTCTATATTAAGTTGTATCTACCTGAGTCAAGTCTAAATTCGGGGACTAAATTTTCGGAGCCTTGATGAGTAGGGCAAAAATCTTCATTAAAGTAAAGTTTAAATTCTCATAATCAAGTTTAAATTTACAAATGCACCGAAAAGTACTCAATCCCATTTTTAATTAAACTCGGTTATAGGTCTCTTTGGGTTCAAAGTGTTAAATTGGCTCGAAATGAATTCATTCAATTTTGTATTTTCAGCTTACGAATACTTGTTTTTCTTTTGCAGCACCTGTTTAAGATAATCTCGTTTCTCAATGAAGCGTATTTTATCACAGCAATTACATTTTTTTGTTATTGCATCAAAGAGTCTGCCTCGGAAGTCAAATTAGATTCAATGAAAATTAAAAATGCTTTAAATGAGAGTGGTATCGTTCCCGATGTCATTGATGTATTCCCTGAAAATATGCTCCAGGTAAACAATTGCTTTATTCCCAGCAAACTCTCCTCCAAAAATCAATCACTTACCTATTGATTCCTCACTATGGATTTATTTATTCTCTACAAACATAACCAGCTCATTTATACATTATCTTCGAAAGATAGGGAAGCTGAATAAATTAAAAATTTACGAAAGATCCTGGAAAAAGTTTAAAAACCATTTGTTTTCCCACCGAACCCGCTCGATTTTCATAATGGCTACTCAGAAAGAAAGTAACCAATTATATCGACTTTTAACGGTAGTGTAGACGAAATACGCAAATTAAAAATACGTACATCAATTTTAGGAACTATTATTTTGGAGGTAATTTTACTTTACGTAGTGGGTTATCAATGCATAGATTATCAATATCATGAGAAGGTTTGACATTGGATAAGGACGTCGAAATTTAGACAGCACTTTATTAATAAGCTGTTCACAATCAGCATAAGTATGTGACGGGCCAATTGAGGAGCTTTCCGGAAAAAGGGCACAAACGCGTATATGCCCTTTTCCTCGGAAATTGCAGAAACGGACTTCTCATATCCTACTGTATATGTTCCCCTAGTTTTAGCTTATTTAATCAAATTTTGGAGCCAAGAGACCACGCTTTGTGCAACTAAGTCATGGGTTATAGGCTATTCTTGGAAAAAGGGCATGTTGCGTAAAGTGTCCTTTTTCTGGAAAATTGCAGTTAAGTCAATTTTTCTTGTCTACTTAAGTGTAAGTACAGCTGTAATGGTAGCAAAGTTGACCGCAAATTGCTACTTCACGATGTGCCTCATCTATCTACCACGGCCGCCACAACGTTGTGGAGATAGCGCGTGGTCCTAACGGACGGACGAGGAATACTTTTGATACCAAAGACGATTTTTTATATTTTTTAACGTGCAGAGGAGATGCATTAACTTCATATTTGTTTAGAAACTCGATCATGTCCTAAAAGTCCAGTTTCAAAAACCGAAACCAATGTCCACCGGTCCATTTCCGGAAAAAGTGCACATGACGGAAATTTAAAAAAAAAAAAATCCTCCCTCAACAATAAAAGAAGTCTTATAGTTTTACAAATGGTCGTTCTTCATCCAAGGGCGTATGAACTTTACTCTAAGTGTCCAGGTTCCGATGTAAGTCACCATCAGTGACCATAAAGAAATAATGAAAACTTAAAATGCGTTTTCCTCACAATGCGATTTTTCGGTATGTGCCCTTTTGGCCAGCTCGCTCGATCTGATTTTGAGTCGAGCGCAATCTGCTTGGGCGCTTGGCTTGGGCCGATCTGAATGGAACCGCGATGGATCACGCCAATCGTAATGAGTCCAGGCCAATTATTTTATGGAAATTTATGTGACAAGCCAACATCCTGAGATCTTGATACTATTTACTTATCTTCACTCCAGCTGCCGGCTTTCTATGGTGTAGTGCTCGTAACGTGGGCTCTGTGATCCGCCTCCGCCGGGCTTATCTTAATTAGTATGATATGTCGAGGTCCTATTCAAACCAGCCCGGGCCAATTATTGCAATCGACTAAAACAGATGGTAATCGGTCCAAATTATTAATTGACAGGCAGTAGATGCACCAGATCATACCTCGCCAATGACCGTTTGCACCAATCGTTACCAAATGAGGTGCGGTGGCGTTTGCGGATTCTAAGAATCCGGTGGCATATTTAAGTGCCTACCCCTTCCGTCCGCAATTGCCATCGCCGAAATTCTCTGGTCCGCAAACTCGACCGGCCCTGTTCCGCCTTTCCGCAATCGCCACCATCAAAATATGAGAATCCGCAAACGCCACGTCCGCAAACGCCACCGCACCACCAAATGACTTACTACCAGGTAATACTGCGAAACTATTACCCCACGCACGAACTAGGCCCACAAACTGGCTCACCAGTGAGTGACCTTCAAAGAATTTGAGAGGCAGCAGTCACCGATGCGCCAGTTTGTTGGATCTTAGTGCGTGGGACGGATGTCATAGGTGCATTCATTGAAATGTGTCCTTCTTTAAGAGACCAACTCATTAAAATTGTCAAGAAGACCCTACATCCTGATTCAAACTTCATCGTGACAGAAATGACAATAATTGCTTTTTAAAACTATCTCAATAATGGGAATAGGACAGTAATTGTCATTAATGACAACCATAGCTAATGACATAAGACTGAACAGTCATTGTATGACGATCAGGGATACTGCCGTGGTTTTGCATACATACATGAGTCATGCGTTTGGAGTTTATATAATTTACCCATCACGATTGCTGCAGCTAATCAGCACAAATAGTTGTACAAATTATTCACATTCATTATCCATGTTTTCCTTGTCAAAATTGTTTTGATACGCTAGAGAAATCGTGAACCCAAAATGGTAGGACTCACCGGCATAATTTCATTGGTGAAATTTTGAGAGAGGTTGTGTACGTTTAAATTGGTTTGATGCCATCATTATTTTACCATTCCAATTTATCCCCCCAAGTTCCCACTGACAATAATAGTCTGATGGCTCTAAGCTAATTATACCATTAAATCTGAGTCATGGAGACCACATCTTAGTTTAAAATGCATTCGTTTTTTTTGTTTTCTAGATTGAATATCAAAACCACAAAGAGGTATCTTTTGGTAATTATTTGTCATGCTGGGATGCGATTGAACAGCCGGTGAATATATCCTACCCGACGGAACCTAATGCCTATTATGCCTTAATTATGACAGGTGAGTAGAGAAAATAATTCTCAAGAAAGATTAAAACTCAGATTTGTACACTATCATTGCGAGACACAATTGACGAAGACGGTCAAAAGACTTTTAAGATGAACTAAATGTAAATGCATGGTCAAGCAAGTCGATGGTGAAAGTGCAGAAGTGCGTACCTCGATTTTTGACAGTTTTGAGTTAGCTGCATAAACGTGTAGTTGAAGATTTCGTCTATCAGCCAGCAAGAGATTATAATCGAAAATAATCGGGAAGTCACCTAAAACAGTAGAACTTTTTTCGCGTATCTCGAGCTTAAGTGCAGGAATGCTATCTCGTTCAGGCCTGTTCATTTTTCGGCGCGCCTTACGCACAACTAATCACAACGCGCGCTCCTCAGCAGCGTTTCCCGCCAACACCGCATATCAGCTGATCAGCTGTTCTGTGTTTGTTTTCAATGGTTTTCATTTATCTATCTAAAAGAAAAGTTGATGTGGACAAATGAGGATAATCAGGCAGTCCAGCATGCATAATATCAGTGAATGCTGGTGATAGGCCGATAGACGAGGGAAGGGGGGGATTAGGTACTGTTACTTGTCATTAATGTTGCATACGCTTGTAATTGAAGGCGGATTATCACTCGAGTTCCCTCCAGTATCATTTCTTCATAGGTATCTACTACCTACTAGCAGCGCGCGGCGTTCATGTCCATTTTTACTCTCTGGGTCAATGCAATCATGAACTGATTGAACTGACGGTTCATCACAACGGTCAGTTTTATCAGAGTCAATCCGGTCAAACAATGCTTCATTTAGTGTATTGGATCGACTAAAGCTTCTAAATAAGTTTTAAGGTTGAATAAATTCTATTTTTGATCTCATTGATCAAGAGTAACTTCAAAACGCTAATTGCAGAAATGCGTATCTCGTAATCTAATGTCAGTTTCCAATCATACAATGCTTGATCCGGCCGTATGAGGTCAAACTAAAGCTCCTGATAAAGAATTGTAAGCATGAAATCTTTTTTTCAGTTTTTAAATTATCAAAATTTGCCAACAATAGGTTTAAAACACTATTTGCAGAAATGCGTATCTCGTGATAAAGTGTCAATTCTTAGTGCCGAAAACGTGAATCTCGGCATTTCGACCGTATTTTCTAACAGCGCGAGAAATTATTCAAAATATTGATGAAATCTGAAAAAGCATCTTATTCTTGCTATCCTCAAGAATTATTACCCTTCTACTGACAATAAGGAGGAATGTAGACAGTTTCTTTACTCTCCTGAAAAAATGTGTTTTCTGAGATACGCACTTCTGCATTTTCACCATCGAAGTGTTCGTAAAATAGGCTCAACACGAATTTAAAAAAAAAGTTTCATGTTTGACCATGAATTGAGAAACTTAGTAACCAGTTATATGTATGGTTTCGGAGGTTCAGGGCTTCGATCACACTGTAGCTTAACTAAAATATGTTGGTTTTCTCTTAAAGTATCGTTGTTTTTACAAAGTAAAATTTCGCATTTTAAGAGCCTTCAAATACAAAATAATAATATACAACGACGGACCAATATGTTGACTATACCATATTTTCTCTCAGACCCAGATTGTTCTTTGAAAGAAAGTCCAACTCACCGAGAATTGCAGCATTGGGTTCTTGTTAATATTCCCGGGGCGAACTGGACTCAAGGATTTTGTCTGACAGAATACATTGGGATTCTACGTGACTACGAATTTGGTTAGTGACAACTTCTCATGCTGAGTAATTGTAATTTGAAAAAAAAAAAAAAAAAAAAAAAAAAAAAAAAAAAACTCTTGAAACAGTTATTTGCATGTCGAATTGAACGTACATTAAAATATCGTACATAAAAGTGATAAAGGTCAAAATTTGATTTTGGCTGTAATCTATAAGAAATGCTGTTTGTTTTAACTAGGTATCGGCCTGTACTTTTTTAGGTATAGAATTTTATCATACGACTGAGAAATTCAATTTGAGGAGGGTTACCCCTGATTAAGTTTCTTGGTCGTATGGAAAAATTCATACCTTATAAATTAATGGCTGGTGCCTCGTTAAAAAGTGATAAAGGCTTGTGTAGCGTTTTTACTTGATCAGCATAGCCTGAAAATAAAACTCCGCTACCTATCTTTAAAATTGAATTTGAACCCAAACCAAACGTAAGCCAAATTCTAAAAGGAATAAACACCATAAACGACTTCATCATTCGGCTTGAATTCCCAAATAAAGCTAGAAAAGTAATTCAATGCAAAAAATGTTTATCAATTGGCCATTCCCAAAATTTTTGTTATAGAAATCCCCGATGTATTGTTTGTGGAGATTTTCACGAAGCTGACTCCTGTCCCCGTAAAATCGAAGCCATTAAAACTTTCACCCCCATACTGCCGACGTGTGCCCTCTGCGGAGGTGTACATTTCGGCAATTATAGGGGATGCAAAGTCTATAAAGAAATAAACAAGAAAAGATTCCCTTCAACCCCCTCCCCTAAACTTCAGAATACTTCTTTGACATCAAACCTTATCTCCCCAGGCATAAGTTACGCTAAAGCCTTATCAAACGGAGCTGATAAGGCACATGACTCAGTTTCAATTAATGAAACTAGATCCGAATCACAAAATAATGTCTTCTTATCCAAATTTGAAGCAGTAGATAAGAAAATCGACGACTTAGAGAAAATGATTAAAATACAAAGTCAAAACTCAAAAGAACTCTCAGATGCAATAAGAGACTTACTAATATTTTACGGAACATTAATGGAAAAAGTAGGTATCATGGGTAAGTTAGTCTTACCAGGAGAGGAACCTACCCCTTAATATTTTAAAATATATTTTTTGTATAAGACATCAGTCTTATAAAAATTGTAATCACACGCCTCCTAATGTTCCTCGCTTTGCCTGGACATATAAGGAGAAACGATGATGGTTTCGAACGGCTCACCCGTTAGAAACTGGTTTAAAAAATTGAGCCCTGTTATTTCGAAATAATTGGACTCTATATCTTTTCTCCGCCTGTTTATTTTAGGCCGGTATCTTTTCTGTTAAAAATATTTATGTAGCTATTATTAAGGCTAGAGTTAAAATCGCTTTTAAAGACGAAAAGTCTAAAAGCTCTACTCTGTACAATGATTATGTATTTGTGCAAATAAATAAAAAAAAAAAAATAGCCCAAAAATTGCAGAATCTTATTCGATGATTTAAAGGAAAATACGTTTCTCCGTCTGAAATTTTTAAATGATTCAAAATGTGCAGAGGAGAGATTCTCAAGTAGTGAAAAATTACTCAAGAAAGTCGCTCATTTTAGAGAGCTGCTCATGAGTCATTATTTGATCGATCAGTTGGATTCAATAGAATAATAAACTTAGAGGTGAATATTTGTCATCTCAGCGAGTAAAACACTCATTGATATTTTTGTCCTCAGGTGTTCATCGTTATGTCTTCCTTTTATACAAACAACCTGGGAAATTGAAATTCACAGAAAGAGTGTTGGACGTTCGGTAAGCACAATTTTAATTTTTTTTTTTTTTTTTCAATTAAATGGGTTTTTCAATTCACTTAAGTTTCAAGATTATGGCGTGTTCGAGTTAGCCATTGAATTGACTTGAAGATTTGTATCGATAAAGTAGAAGGAGAACCGTATTTACACTCCAATTAGAGTCAAATGTAAAACTCTTTAAAATCCGAATTGTATATATTTAGCGATCGAAGCTTTATGAAATCATATGTCGACGGTGAAACTACCAAACCACGTATCTCGGTTTGCGACGTCGCAGACCTCCTATCATACTTTATTTTTTAAATGAAAAACTACTTAACATCCAGTCTTGAAAATTTCTGTGATTTTTCCTCTTTGTGCGGAAAAAATTCCGTGAAAATTTCAAGGAATGATATTGATTTGGTCTACTTCAAAAAAATAAAATGTGAGCGTAGATTTTTAAACACCGCAAACGAGATACGTGGTTTGGTAGTTTCACCGTCGATGTGCGCAATCATTATTCATGAAAAGTTCTTTTGAAAGTATATGGAAGAAAGGATGAAAACGTGGAAAAAGGCGACAAGGGCATCCCATGAAGGGATGGCGGCAGGGCGTTGTCGAATATATGTTGCGTCGTCAGTTGCCGAATAACCTACTCTGGAGAGACAGGCACATGTGGCCTTTTTGTATCGCAGAACGCCAAAGTTTGTTGCGGGAGCAACTTTTATATATGTATGTATGTAAGATGATAATATCAGTGCAGTATAGACGATTTGCTTTATTTAATAGTTCACAATTATATTTCTTTAGGATTTTAAACGTACTCGTTAAGAGCCGAATTTCTTTTTTTTCTGACTCTAGGCCCGTCTTAGAGTCGCGGTGTAAATTTTCCACCAGGAATTTTGCAAAGAAGTACAAATTTGGTGACCCCATTGCCGTCAATTTTTTCATGTCGGACTTCGACGGCGACTAGTTCTTAAAGGCACCACCAATGTTTTATAATCAGAGGCAGCTTTCTCTCACAACTGCAACCAGAGGAAGATTCTCTGTCTCAGAACACTGAACTTGGTAATTTTTAACCATACCGGCTCGAAAGTTTTTGAAAAACAGCTATGACGAGTAAGAAAATACAATCAGTACTTAGAATTGCTCCGAAAAATGCATCTACCCTATCGCCTAAGAAGTTTTATACACACGGAAAAAAATAACTGTGCTCGGATAACCATCTTGGTTTTGTTAATTAAAAGTTGGTGCTGTATACATGAAAAAATTGATAGAATAACCAACGGCATTGTATTGTCCACAACGTCTTTAGGGAAATCAGTCATTTTCAATTAGTTGCTACTAGCTATTACAAATCTGTTCACCGAGACAAAATTGATGGTAAACTGCTCCATCAAGTTGACTCATCGCACCGAAGAGTGCGCTTGCGCTTCACCTATATCTTGTATTTGGTTGATGCTACTCGGTTAAGTGGGCTCATTGAACTACAGAATGCGTTAGTGCAAATTATAAACTTGTTGATAATGAAGGTCACCATCTCGGATGACTCAGTTAAAGTATTTTGTTAGTAGTCTGCCCCGTCAATATTTTACGCTTTGCCAACATTGAGTCACCAAAGAAAGTAATCAGATATGGGCTGATTAGGGAAAGTATGTTGATAAATTATCAAGAATTCATATTCAACCCACCTTGTGCTTTGTGTGACTGATAAGCGTGTAATAATATGTTCGTGGAACGTACTCCTTTTCCCGTCCCTGGCTTGGGCGACGATAAAGTCGCCGCAAAACTATATGACTTCGCGCAATTAATTATTCTTGACTCTGTTCGGTTTTAATGATAATTAAAGGGCATTTATTACAGCAAGTCAGAAACTCGGACGATGTTAAATTTTTCACTGATTTAAAATAAAAACGGATTAAAACGAACTAAAATATTCATTTAAACCAAAAATTATTTTATTATAAAAGTAAAGTATACCTCATATCGTAATTTTTGAGGGGAAAAATAAAACTAACACTGATAGGAGGTAAAAATAGGGCCGCGAAGCGGCCCATTGATGGTGCGGAGCGCCTTCAGGGGGTTGGACAGCGTAGCGGTCAGGGGACATAGCCCCCTAGTATTTGACTATTTGCCTAGGCATTTGGCAAAATGCCTAATTTTACCATTTGCCTGCGACATATCGATTGCAGTGTTTGAAAATTTCTTTCCTCCCCCATCCCCTTGGCACCAAGTTTTACGAAAATCCGACGAGCAGGAACCGACATAGCGTTTTAGGCCACGCCCACCACCTTGGTTTTTCGAATTTTCGAAATTAGACTAAAAATTAGAATTTAATCGATGGAATGGGAGCCGATGTATCAATTTAGGCTACGTCCGCCGTCTTAAATTTTCAAATTCAGAAAATTCAACTTGAAACGCATCATACCCAAAATCTAAGCTCAGATTTGGCTTCCTCGTGAAAAATTGATGATATTTCATGTATCATATGTTACCATAGCATAAAGAAAAGAGGGTAATCATAGGCGTAAAGATTCTATCAAAGCCGGCCGGTATGCGGAAGTAGGCACAGAATTCAAACGTTTGAGCTACGCCGCCAGGCGTCGGGCGCCAAGCATTTGGTTCGTCCGTTTCCGAGAAAACAAACTTCTTACTCATCAGCTGACCCACTCCGAATCACCCATGTTGCCACGTCGGACTGATATGTTAGAATCTACACGGTGACATATGATACATGAAATTGCATCGATTTTTCACGAGGAAGCCGAATCTGAGCTTAGATTTCGGATATTATGCGTTTTAAGTCAAATTTTCTTTTATCTATTTTAAATCACTCAGGAAAATTTGCGGAAACTCATTGGAATAACAGTGTGTATTCTTTTAAAAACATTGATCAAAAATAAAACATTGACGGTATTTGAATCCATTAATCACCGAGATAACTTGAACATGGTTGTTCTACGACTTTTTACGTATGTTGTTTTCTTCCGCATTGCTTGTCGGCAGCGTAGCGGCCAAGGGCCCCTGGTACTAATAATAGTTTTCAAAATCAATTTTTTTCTACATTCAAAATTCCAAGGAAATGGCAGAAATGTATCAATTGTTACTAATGTTTAAACAATGTTTCTTGTCAATTGTATGTTGTCGTTAAGCTAAACATCCCAGGTTTACCAGTAAGCTAGGCATGCACTATATTTAACACCATGTCAAGGCTTCAGTACTTTAGAGTCATGCGTTGCTTATTCACTTAAAAAGAAAAAGGAAAAAATATAAGTGTAGTCGTAAATTACCGGGGGAGGGAAAGGGTCTTTAAAACCTACACTATAGAAAGGAGGCACTATCCTCCGTAAAAATACTACTTTCCTTTTTGACGTTTTTTCACACTTCATTTTAGAACATACTTTGGAAAAAATTTCCATGTTTTGTTGTGTATTTTGCATGCATTTGCTCTTGGCTCGGCCTCCGTTTGCTTACGTAGGAACAATTGTAAGAATTTCACAGAATTTTTATGCCTTTTTTAATTTTTTTTTTTTTTAAGATTTTGCATATATTTGACGTAAGAAGGGATAAAAGGTCTTTGAATTTGTATTTCGGGTATTTTTATTTAAGCATTTCATTTTGTGCAAAAACAATAAATTCTAAGAAAGTTGACACTTCTTGGACCTGAAAAATGTTGCAGCCCTATTGATAGCTCTGTCGATGTAATTATTCCTTGATAGTGCTTAAGTTTAGTATTTGTATACACTCGAGGAATATTGGAACCAAATTGAAGTGATGGTCATATGAAAGCTCGAAACGTCCTGTCTTTTTAAAGTTGTAATACTTAAACCATGTTTTACGCATTTTTTCATTTTTCATGTTTATTTGCAACTGAGATGACAAGACATACCTAGGTGGCTCTTCAATGAATCCGTCAAACACTGAGATGCAAATCGATTTGCAGTGCAGGCAAATTTGTGTTCTTTGCTAAAAATATTCTAATCAATTTATAACCTTTAAAATTCGTGGCAGGACACCCTTTTATATTTTGATACTTCAAGAATATATACGTGTTTTTAATTTTATTTTTCTATTTATTTCTTTCTCAATCCTTCTTTTGTATCCTTGATTTTTGTGGAGAGGTACCTTTTCACGAATCGTCTTCATCTTCGTAAGGATCCATGTCTGGAGTAAATATGATGTCAGGGCTTTTGTCCACTTCTGCCCAATTGATTGCAAATGGTGCTCCTAATCTGTACTCATTGACGAAATGTCGCGTAGAAAAATTTTCTCTTTTAACTTTCAGTGAACTGAAAAAAGGAGAAAGAAAAGTAAGTGGTGCTTTTAAAATTTGATACCAAATCATAGTATCGGCTGGTGTGATGCCGGCTGCTTTCAAGTAGGGCCGCGTTAAAAAATCTATCATCAAATGATGATAGTAGAGCCTCCTTTTTTGACACCCACAAAGGACTCTCGTGAATGACACTCGTGGCCCATTTGTTTATTAGAAAAACGATTGATTTTTCAGAAAATGGATTCCGCTGAAGACTTTAGTCAAGCGCAGTGATAGAGAACTATTTTTGGGGGTTTTCCAACAATACTAGATTTTTAGATTACAGCCTTCTTCTGAGAACGCTATTCAACTCAATTATGCCATACACTTTTTCAAAAATTCTGGCATCTCCCCTGTGAAAAAATAACACTCGGCCTTTTTCTACTCTATAAATAAAAGACGCAATGTTTTTATACATACTCTGGATGATGGTGATCACCTTTGAGATGCAACTTTTCCTTTTGACGGTACACTAAGTAAATTATACGATGATTTCCTAAATGTAAAAAAGAGATATCAAGCATGATTGAAATATTTCATTCTACTTTCGTGCATGTATATTACTACTATTCACAAAATATTCTCAATATATTTCGAGAGCCTGTCTAATTTTGAGCATTTTGAAGATGAGTTCTTGTTAAAGTTTTGTCAGTTAACGAAACTGCCATGAAGAAAATTAGAATAAGCATCAAAGGAGATCAGTAAAACCTGAAAACACATTTTCTGTGCTCTTTTTCAGGTCTGTCGCAGAACAATCGAGCACTGAAAGGTGCCGTTCTGAATCTTGTCGTGTAAATGTGAGAAAAATTAATTTAAAGAGAGACGGCTAAAACTAAGCCACCTCTTAATTTAATTACAGTACTTCTAATGTCGTTCAAACGTGTATTTATTCACGCATGTTGAATGAAATCGAAGTAAAAAAACAGCAATAAAAATAATCTCTAATGCTCGTAATTCCTTTAAATTAGAATGTTATAAAGGACCATAGGAGGTAATTAAGATTTACCTTCTTGGTATTCATAAATCGCTCCTTTATATTCGGGCAAGTGAAATCCCTTCCTCAGATTTCGACCTGGTATATTAACCACCAACCAGTGAAGATACTCCCGATCCTTGTAATCCTCTCGGCTAGGCACATCTAAGCCTACAGAATGAAAAGTTAAAAATAGTATCGCCATTATGAAATTTGTTGTTCCCAGTGGCATCCTTACAAAAGGACGTATTTTAGGCTAAAAGGAACTATGTGCATAGGGTTTGCGTGTTCCTTTTGGCATAAATACGTCCAATATATCGACGGTGACACTCTCAAACTACGTATCTCGTTAACGGTGTTTGAAAATCTCAGCTAATCCTCTATTTTTCAAAGGACAATAATTCAACATCATTCTTTGAAGTTTTCACAGAATTTTCTTCACAATGAGAAGAATAATCGTAAAAATTTTAAAGGATTGGCGTTGAGTGGTTCTTCATTCACAAAATATAGAATGACAGAAATTCTGCAACGTCACAAACCGAGATGCGTGGTCTAAAAGTTACACCGTTGATATATAAAATAACAGAATAAACTTAAGGACCATAGGCTAAAAAAAAACAAGCAGTGAACTCCAACACAATGTGTTGATAAGGCGCGTCATTAACTCGCACATATCAACCCCTTTAGTTTTCATTTACAGAGATTTCAAAATAGGCAAACAGCATAAAAAGAGAATTCACGATCCAACACTGCGAGGTCAAAGACGCACCTTGACGAGACCGTGTATTGTGAAAGTAGAAAGCTATTCGATCGAATTTAAGTTTTTTGATCTGCCTCAAGCAAAATCTTATCAGATTCTTGAAGAAAAGTGCTACGGAATAATTTAAGCGAAGAAAGGAAAAATTCTGTCGAACTCCTAGAAGATAAAGTCGATTTAAAGGTATTTTGGGGCTAAAATACCCAAATCACCGGTAGTAAAAATCCCGTTATATTATTGAAAAGAAATTGACTCGATATAAATGCAATTGCATTAAATACGTCTTGATTTTGTTATTTTAAACGTCTTTCCATGCAAAGAAGTTCAACCATGTCGTTGCTTTATTCATTCATGAATTGAAAGTAAGCAATCTACATCCCGAAAATCTACTGATTTGCCGTAAAAAATTGCAGAAACTTGATATACCAGGTCGATGCACCCACTCGTTGAATTTACCAACCAATTTTGTGAGTGCANATGAATCCTAGCGTGACGGTGAAATGGTTAATGAAGCGTGAGTAATTGGGGTACGGGTATCGGCCGCGTTGGGACCCAAGGCCCATTGTTCTTCGTGACGCCGACGCAGTGATCAGGAGCGTGGGGACGAGAGGGCTTAGTGGACTCCTGTATGAGCCACGTTTAGCAAATGGTCTAATGAGTCTCGAGGCTCATCACAGATTGCACTTACCACTATCCTGGTGGCCCCGGCTATCAGAGCAAGGAGTACCAACTTTTGAAAAGGATAACAGTGTTGTGGAGATATGTCAAAGCAACGTTGTGAACAAAACGGAGTGAGTGAAATTCTCATTCAAGGAGTGCCGAACTGGTCAGCCATCCTCGAATCAGTTCGCTTGCTTCCGCTTATATATGCATATTTTAAATCAGCGCGCCCCATTCTAAGGTTTTTTTAAAAAAAACCAAGAAACGTAGACTCTTGGTATTCATTACACATAAACTAGCGAGCCCCAGAATGAGAAACAAATTTTAATCATTATTATTGACGGATTAGTAAACTTTTTACACGCTTTGGAAAATCTCAGAAGTTCGCGGTAGTCACTTTTCGGTAAGGAACTAGGGGACTCGGTAATTGTATCGAGGGGGGGGTCGAAACGATCGCAAAGGCGGTATACTACGTATACGCGCCAAAAAAAAAAATTAAAAGAAGAAGTTCTAGCGACGGAAGGTGCAAAAGGGCAAATCTAAGAGAAGTGTCAAATTTCAGTCATGGACAAGAATCATTTGTAAAAAGTGTGGTCAAAAATTTCACATTTCATCTGGTATAAAAAAGAAGACGTGTCTCTAACGTTTCTGGTTATTCAAATTGTGTAAGTCGATATATTTTGACTTGTTTCGAGTATTGTTATGTCGATCTTGTCGTTGTTGATCAAAATGTTCGATCATTTTTGCTTTTTTTCGGCCTCCTTTTCAATGTAAATCTACGAATAAATCTCAAGATATGCATTGCTGAGAAAGTTTGTCAACCTATAGCCCTTGTTGATCTCAACCAAATATGCCACTTATTTCCACTTGAAAATATCATTTATCAAAAATTATCTCTAAAACAAACAAACAAAGAAGAAACTTCTGAAATTATGTTTGGAATCATGTTAGTTAGTGCAGAATATTTTTTAGAGTAAGAAAATCTGCTCCGAACTGATTTGCAGAAAAATAATGTGATGCTGCAGCGTCTTTGAATAAAGAAATCATATATTTATGATCTGTTTTCAAATGGTTTTATTTCTCCTAGTTTTTTTCTTTCTAAGTATAAAAGTATTTCCCCAGCATCTTTTCATTTTCATGTTGATGTTGAAAATGTTACGATATTTTAGGATCCTGCATGTTACACTGAAAAAAAAAGATTGCTAATTCACCGATTTAGGGTGGAGCAAAATTTCGACGGTGCAAGTCGGCAATCACATAACTCGGTTTGCGACGTCGCAGACTTCCTGTCATACTTTATTTTTTAAATGGAAAACTACTCAACGGCAATTCTTTAAAACTGTCACGATTTTTCTTCTCAATGCGAAGAAAATTCTGCAAAAACTTCAAGAAATAATGTCAATTTGCTCTCCTTTAAAAAAATGACGTAGAGGCGGAGATTTTCAGACACCGCAAACGAGTTATGTGATTTCCGACTTTCACCGTCGATTTGCTTCACTTCGTAGAGCTTTCTTATCCGTGCACGATGTTGAATCAAGTGAACGACTAGCACGAATTGCTACACCGATTTGCTACATCTGCGCGCCTTCATGCAGTTAATCTTGCATCGAGTGGCTTGGAAGTGTAACTGCATTTTTTGGTATTGGTACTTTGCGAACAGTAAAAAGAGCTCAACAGTTAGGCTGAAATAGCGGAATTTACGGAAAAATAGCGAAATTTACGGAAGAATAACTAAAAAGGTAACAGACGTAGCTTTTCAGAGATCACAATCACCTACACGCGTGTGTGTAAGTTAGGTGAACTTTCTGTAGCGATTTTACCTGCATGGTTTGCACGTTCGTTTTTTAGCTACAACATGCCATGAAATACCCGCGTACTCGCGTGCACGGCAATTTCAGCAATATTTGTTTTTTAGTGTATTTTTAATTGAATTTTAGGAGCTAGACTTATGATAATTATCCTAAAAAAAACTTTACCTGTCATTATAAGTGTGTACTGCTCGCCTTTTTTTATTGTCCAGTTTACAACCTGCGGAGTTTCTACAATATCGTAGATTGTGACTTTTTCACCGAAACTAAACGACGGACTTCTATATTGGACCTGCACAGTCAGAAAAATGCATTAATTTATTCTGCCATAAACTCCAAAGTAACTTGAGCGTCAGTCAAATTATCCCAAAGCATTTTTAAAAAATAACATTATCCATAAAGGGTTTTTATTTTCATATTAAACTATGGTTAATACCGTAATATTAGGGGGAAAATAATTAATTAGGAAGTTAAATATACCGTTACAGCCTGTAGAGGAGCTTCATCTATGAGATCCGGAATTATTTTTTTCTCATGCATCAGTTTCCTCAAAGCTGCAGCGTTTTTCAGTCGCCCAAGATTCGAGGGATTCACAAGCCGGAAATAAAAAACAATCAAGGTGGCGATCGCTGACAAAATACAATGCATTTTACAAAATCCACATTAAAAATAGACAAAATTATTTATCATTCTGCACAGTTTCGGTCGCTAGGAGGTAACTTCACGCGGAAAGAGATATCTTTTAAAGTTATGCCACTTAAATCTTAAAATATGTACTAAGAAAATTAAAGTTCAGAGCACTGATAAACAAATCAGAACACTACACGAAAAGAATCATGAGGTTACAGCTACATTTAATTTTAGGTTTTTTTAAGGCATTTAAGACGATAACTCATGCCCCCTGTGAGAGATTACAAGTTTTCCAATCATAATTAAATGGATACATTTGCCTCATGCATAAAAAAATCAACATTTTTTACAACTTCTCTCATCATTCGGATCACATTGAAACCACTTTGAGTATTTCAGTAATTTGAACAGAATGAGCATGAGGAAGTGTCATCATAGTTCGAGATTTTTGTCTCAGATTATTGGAGAGATAAAAAAGAATGTTTTTGTTGCTTTATACAATGTCACCGTGTGTAAGTGTTCGTCTACCAATCAAACAGCCGAATGGAGCACAGTATGGACTTTCTCTTTTAATCGTGTCAATATAGTGAGTTCTGGCAGTTTATGAGTCAACCTCGCAATTAAACTTACTTTTTGGCACCCATGTTAATCTATCATAATCTATCTACATCAGTATCATCTTAATCGTGTATATCTGGAATAATAACAAAAATATGGAGGATACTACTTGGTAGGTGTGTCATTCAATCACATTCTAACAGTCTTTGAGATGAGTGTTAAATAAGATATTATATACAATTCAGTTGAAGAGTAGGAATTCCTACACTCAAAAAAACAAGCTCCTGTTTTAATTTCATTCAATTTCTAAGAATATGCTCTTCTTTTATTTGTTTTTTGCATGCTTACAAAGAATTACAATCATAAGCAGTTCAAAAAATTGAGTTGTACCCAGGTAATGTCTTTGAAAGTATTGCTTATCAGAGCCGGATTAAGGGGGTGGCCACATGGGCCGCGGCCCATGACGGCAAATTTTAGATGGCGGCAAATTTTGCAATCTTTTTGAATGTAGGTATCAAAAAATGAGAGAAAACAATCGGATTCAGAAAATAAAGTACAAACGAGAAAAGGCGACAAAATCTCTCATTTCCTGAGAGGAAAAGTATAGTAATTTCTAATTGTGTCGTCTTTCGGTGATACAAGAGACAATACCTTTAATTCGTCGAGTTATGAGAGAAACCAAACACGCAATTTGACCTGGAACGGAGCGGCGCGGCGGTCGGCATGAAACACATAGCGCCTGCAAGACTGCATGAATACTTCACGCATTGCGTCAAACACACTGCGGTCAGCAGCAGTCGGCGTGGAACGCATAGCGCCGACAAGACTACATGAATAATTCACGCATTGCGCCAAGCAGTGTGGTCAGCAGCGATCGGCGTGAAACGCATAGCGCCTACAAGACTGCATGAATACCTCACGCATTGCGCCAACACGGTGCGGTCGGTGCGGCGGTGGAAGTTAAAATTTTTAACCACATTTATGTTTGTTCTTTCATAATTTTTTCGTTCTTTTTTGTAAACGGAACGCCTTGTCCAAACAGAGATGGGTTGACGGAACTGAACTTTTATAAGTGTTGACAGGGCTTTTACAAAAAATGTGCCCAACACGAGTAAACACGTCTTATACACCCCTCCCCCAACAGCACATTCACGTGATGGTTTTTATAGATCGTATTCCACAGATCACACAGGTGAGATTATATTGATATCGATTGGTTCAATATTTAACCAAAGCCTCAAAAGTCAATTTAGAAACTTGAGGTAACGGGTCTTATGTGATCGAATTTTTATTCTCTCGAGTACCAAATGGCAATGAAAAGTGAAATTTTTAGGAATGTTCCCATTTTCAGCTTTTCCAAATTAAATCCTAAAATTTGTGTTTGAGGTTATGTTCTATTGTTTTGAAACAAACGATATATCGAACCACTGTCGAATACTATCTATTGATGTTTCAAAACAAATGAGAAGGGGGCGGAAAAATACAGGCGGCCCATGGGCGGCATGTAGGTAAATCCGGCCCGGTTGCTTATGATGCAAAATTGAAATACTGATAGTTGTCCTAGGTTTCAGACTTATGAACGCACATTGTCTGTTTGTCTATTTCTAATATCTCTGTTTTAATTAGTATCGTGCACATAAAGACCTAAAAGGTAAAATATGAAGTTATTTACGTAAGGAGTAAAAAGGAGGCACTTTTAAGAAGCGAAAACAAAAAGAAAGAAAGAGGGGATAATAAAGAAATCTAATCTGCCTAATGCAAAAACAAGCATTTTTCGCGAACCATACTAGTTTTATTTTTTTCCTGAGTAGTCCTGAAATCCGTATGAGGAAGAGGGAAAGTGAACACATATTCCATAAATGGAGTGCTATACATCCAAAACCCATCGTGTCGTCCAGTTCTCCTGCCTATGTAATTCGATTACAGTATACATATAACACTCCCAGTACTCTTTTGCCCTTCATTCACTGCCAGTATTCATAGGTGTGCTCTTTTTAGAACTTAATTACAATCAAAATAGAAAGTCCAATTAGTCAGTAATAACTCAGCTCACACAGAACATCTGTCGTGCATCTTTCGTTTTCATTTTTTTTTACAGCTCGGGGGCGCAAAAATGAACACTTGCCGTTAGAATTAAAGCTCGAAGAATGGACCTGAATGAATTTTTCCGATCACTTACACTCTCTGTGATCATCACTGATTTTATGGCGCTTGTTTTCCATTCAAAATGCACGCTGTGTCCAATTCTTTTCAGAGCTGCGACAGCAAATCAAGAGAACCTGAAAGCGTATCAAGTTGTGCCTCAATTATTTAAAAAGTTTCCTCCTCGTGAAGTGAAGGTTAGTATATAATTATTTCCTTTGTCGCCTTCAAAATAGCGTACTTACACTATTCACACAGGAACATTTAACACTGGCGTCTTCTTTGGGCTTCGATAAAAATTGCGGGCTATAGCCTAGCCAGTACCTCATGGTCCATATACATATAGGTACACAATTCTGCTGTGCTAAGGAAAAACGCCGTATGAACATTTAGGCGTTGCCAAATTTCCTGTGATAAAATGCAAATTTCCTGGTGAATTAATGAACATTTTCCTCCCGATTTTTTAGATAATTCAGCTCCAAATTTTACCTAAAGATTCTGAAAATATAAAGGAAAAGTAGCCATATAACTTACTCAGAAAAATAAACATTTTATCGAAGGAAATTTGGCAACTCTCGAATGTTCATGCGGCGTTCTTCCTTAGCACGGCAGAATAGTGTTTCAGCCTCAACGTAGTCCTCATTTATGGACTTGTGATTTTATTTTTTAGAAAATTCGAACAAATTAATTACAATACAAAGTGTGGCAAATATCAGTAGACGGTCGGTCGCATTGCTGTATTTTCCCCCTTTTGATGTCTTTTTTCTTGATGCGGGGAAAAATTCATTTTTAGTTACGCCCAACACTGATACTTCTTCGATGCATGTATATGATTTCAATAAAATAATGTTTGAAGTTAGGACATTTTATGACTTATATCGCACATAATTTCAAACAGGTTGAATATGAACACGGAAGAAAAGTCGACTTTGGCACTATCTTCTCGGAAGACGAAATAGACAATCCGCCGAACAAAATTTCGTGGACCGTTGAAAGGAAGTATGAGCGAGCAAAATCAAGGTTTGCCTTAGGAATGTTCGGTAATTAATTTCCACGTATCCGCATTCCGCATTCATTATTTTAAAAATAAGTATGCATTTCAATATTTTGGTGAAGAAGGGCTGCCGTTAAGAGCCGAATTTAGCCCAAATAGCTCTATACTCTTTCGACATTTGCATTCACAGCAGAACGTCTTTGTTTGTTTTTAGTCAATTTTGGAGACACTTTGTGAAGGTAAAATTGTGAGAGCACAAAAATTGTCTTTAAAACAACTAATGTAAATTTCTGAAAGATTTTTCTCTTGAAATAAATCCCTTTTCGTTCAACGCGCGCTCGCTTTTTTATTGACTTAACGTCAGATTGGATGATTTTTTTTCTTTTTGCTTATTTTTAGTTCAATTTTTATTATAAATTTCACGAGTTTCTCGTGAGATCTTGCATGATGTAATTAAAACTTATAAAAAAATATATTTCACGACAATTTTAAAAGGTTTCTTGATAAGTTGCCTAAACTCGCAGTGTTTTATAAGTTATCCGTGAACCTTCGCTACGCGGGTGTTACGAAAAGTGCGCATAACTTATTAACAACAAAATTTTCGCTTTTCTCCTTTAGGACCTGATACACCCGCAAGAGAGATAGCTATTGGAACTTACCAATGGCAGCATTGGCTTATTTTAGACATCCCAGGTGACAAATGGAAAGAAGGCCGGGTGGTGACTGAGTATAAGGCCCATGAGCCCTTCTACATGAACGGTACAAGGAAAAAATTCAAAAATACTTATCTGAGCGGAATGAATACCTATATAATTTCTTTCTCGCAAGAATTTTTTTTTTTTTTTTTTTTTTTTTTTTTTTTTAAGATTTTGAGCAAGGAGAGTTCTGCCAAGGCAAACCTTTGCCTAAAGCGGAGTTAAGCACTAGCATACTCAACGTGATAATTGTGCGATTTTATACCAATTAATGTCTGCTAAGTTAGCAGTATCTCTTGTTAGCAACAGATATACAGTTCCGCTAGCTATTCATGTATCATTTGTCGTTTATTTTGTCAACAAAAGAAACTCTAAACTATTCCTCATTTTTTTACACAGTCACTTTCTTGCGCGTTGAGAAAATATTAATTTACTGGAGATCACAATTTCTTTTTGTTAATATTCTACTGGTTTCTTTCTTTTCAAAATTTGGAGTAAATTATTATGTATTGCATTTTATTTTCCCATTGTTATACATGCATATTTATTGCTTCAAGTTATTTAAATCATAAGTCAATATTGAAGCTGAGTCAATTACTCAGCACGCACCAGCACCATGTCTCATAGCTGTTCATCATTGACGGTTTCAGGCCATAAAACTATCAAATCTGATAAATGATAAGTGATTAATATGTTCGCTTTGACAACTCTCTAGCAAATTAGATATCTAATATATCTCTTTTTTTTCCTCGTAGATTTACACCGAGTCTTTTTCATCGTATACAGACAAAAAGGGAAAGATTCTCTCCTGTACACAGATCCATATGTTTCCGTGCAGTAAGTTAAAACATTCATTCCACAATTAATATTAGGAGTCCATTTATATTTTATTGTAGAATTTAGATAGTCCAAACGGAAGAATGAGTGATCAAGCTATGTATTTTACCGGGGAAAGAATATGAAAAGCTATGTTTTTAAAATTGCAAACCAACGTTTGGCATATTACTACAAGTTTTAATCATGCAGTGTAAAACACTTAGTAACGTTTATCACTAGTAATTAGACTGTGAGCACGGTTATTGTACCCAGCTTCCTCTTCGTTAACCCCCCCCCCCCCCNAAAAAAAAATTAGCTTTTAAGCACGGTAAGTTTTTTAAAAAGATGTTTCAAACATTTTTACTTAAAGCCTGCTAAAAGCTGTCAATGTACTTTCAGCAACTATCAAATTTGTAACTGTATACGGCAAGGAGCTAGAAACAAAACAGCTCGCTTTGAGACGTTTAAAATTCGTATTTTATAGTTTTAAGGCTTACAGTTATATTAGCTACATGGGTTTTACAAAATTTCGTACAATGTTTCTTCGTCCTCTGAAGAATAGTTTTTTTAAAATTTCAGATATTGAGCATTCAAAAAACAAAAAGATCGCTAGGATTTTGAAAAGTCTCAGTCGAAATGAGATTTTCCCTACAAGTATTCACACCGCCTTTCCCAATTAAAGGGTCCTCATTGAACAAATATTTTCGTCAAAGACCGAAGATGTGAGCAAGAATTTATTGATCTGGAGATCTAGGGTAGGCGGTTCTGAGATATCCATATGTTATATAATAAAAAGGCATCCTAGAATAAGCGCCTAAGCGTTGCATGGTTCTTTTAGCACTAGGAAAGTATACATCTCTACACAACAATTAAATGCGTTGGAGCACAAAACGAAAAGAGCACAGTAATACATAATTTTAACCCCCAAGATGTATTTAAAAAGCACAGCACGTGTGGCTTACTATTTTTTAAAGTGATCGATTTCTTCAATCATTCTTAGCCTGCTTTTATAGATTCAATTTTGTCTTACAAACCAAATTATTTCTGTTGCAGTGCCTCAGACAATCTGCGAGGAAACTTTCAGTGGGAAAATTTATCAAGAAAGTATGATTTGGGCGATCCATACGCGATAAATTTTCTCCAGCTTAATTCAAGTTCTGAACCGATAATGGGTTATAAAATTCCGCCTTATGAAGAGCTGGCTAAGAATGAACATATTCGAAGGCACTCCTTTAAAAGTACAGGTCTCTCCTCGCAAAATAAATCAAGATACTTATCGTACACAGGAAAAATCTAGGAGCCTTTAGCAGAGGCAAATCAAGAGGTTTATCTGGCTCAGGTATAACAAGGTGGGAATTTTTTGAAGGATAATTAAGTCCTGTTACACCAAAGAGGTGTAGAGAGTTTTAGTGAATTATGTCTCATGGAATTGACGCTCCCCCATTTTTACCAAAACTCTCAATTATATATTATTCTCCGTTGGACCAAACGGACAAAACAAAAAAAAAAAAAACAAGCAACCCCTCATTCTTCCAAGACATTATATATTTTCATCCAAAAACGTCTTGAGCACTTGTCGTTTGTAATTACATGTGGGCCAATTAACTTTGGGTCTCAACTGGCACGTGGACCAAAACTGCCGTGCCGAAAAAACGCGTGGACGTAAATTACTGGAAAAAACAGGTGCGCGGACAAAAAATCGTTGACGAAATGTCCTTTAACCGATTGTGCGGAAACGTTTTTGACCAAAACGTATATTGGCCTTTTTTTCAAGCGAATTAGTATTGAAATTATCTATGCATCGCTTAGATCCGTAGAAGTGATTTTCCAAATAGGAAATCTGCAGAAGATTATTCAGCATAATGAATACATTTTAGGGCCTGATGTACCAACTCATGAAAAAGCAGTCGACAAAGAGATTCAACATTGGGTGGTTGGTAACATTCCGGGCAACAATGTCTCTGCTGGGGAAACTTTGACGGAATACAGAGGAATAATTCCACTTTATGAGCCAGGTATGTAAAAAAATTATTATTTTCATAAAGCGGTGACGCATCTTCCTGATCTATTACAAAAATATGGATCATTGTGTATTGAAAATGTCCACAAGGTATGAAAGGTTATCAATAAAAAAGTGTCAAAAAGCACATTTTTTTATTAATAGTTCAATTTATAATTCGCAGTAAACTTTGTCCACAAGCCGTGGACCAAAGCACCACAGCCAGAGAAAATTTTGCTAGGAGGACAGAATCTATACCAAATATTTGCCTACTCTATAGTCAATATTTATGACTTTTTAAGCGACGCATAGTGGATCGAGGGGAGAGGTCAGACACAATTTGGAAACTTTACAAGCTTACAACTCCGGTTATACAAAACATTGAGGTTTCAAAAAAATGGTTCGACTAGTTTTTTCGTGAAATTTTCTTCTAGAAACACCCTTTAATATTTAAAATGTGACGAAATAAACATCAAAATTTTTAGTTATAGTCGTCAAACATTTCATGTCCAACCTCTCTAACCGACTCGATCCACTGTGTGTTGCCTAGAAATTTTCACTATTGATCCATTCCCTCTTCCTTTTTACAGGCAGCCATCGGCTATGCTATTACGTTTACGAGCAACCAGACGAAGAAAAAGTAACATTCAAAGATGAGCATGTCAACAAATCGTAAGTCGTAAAATATTTATGGCATGATTAGAAGTTGCATTCTTATTTGGAAAAAAAGAAGACATTATTTCGATATTCAAATTATCTTCAATCATCACCATGATATTGTTGCGGGATAGTAATGTGGACTGTTCTTGTTCGCTTACCTAGAATTTACGTGTCAGGATAAGCGAGTTTCCAAGTAAAGAATAACTAAAATATACGGCAGCACTTGCGTGATGGTCATTGAAGATCTTCGATCATCTGAAGCCGGCCAGGTGGACCTAGTGGTCAGCGCGTCTGACTCTAGGTCAATACGCCCCGGGTTCGAATCCCGGTAGTGACGTCAAATTTTCACGGAACTGATGAGCAGATCTGCTGGAACAGGTTTTACTCAGCTTTAGTCCCTGAAAATTTAAAAGCCTGGAGCATGGATGTCCCTACAGCCCTGTTGTCTAAGGACATTAAATCTGTGAGAAGAGGTATAAGACATTAAACCTTAAACAAAAAACAAAAAAATCATCCGAGCATAATGATGCTGTTTTATTTTTGCCTTTTTTTTTTTTTTTTTATTGTTTCTCAAACACTAGATTTACATACAATGAGCACTAATATTACAATGAACAAATCGTTATCATTTCTCTAACCTTATCTGTAACAAATATAATATCCAGTATGATACTTAGACTAAGGCCGGAATTTTAAGACGTTACTCGAAACTTCCTCGACTCGAGATTTCCT